ATTCTGCTGGCTAACCTAGGAACGGATAGCTAGCTTATAAATGCTCCGGGAAAGCAAGATCTCACGCAGCCCATAAAATCTCGCTGGTCTTGTTATGACTTTACCCCGGTCAATTTCTTCCCGCTCCTTTTTATTGCTCTCCGGTTGATCGTCCCTCCCAGTAGTTCAACGACTTCAAGTTCATTGCAATCTTTGAGTTCTGCTGGGCAGGATCTTCACCATAAGTTATCAGTGTCCTCGTGTTATAGGAAAGCTACGTGATTAATCGAGCAATCCTTGCACCTTGAACAAACTTCTGGATGATGCTTTTTTTGTTTAAAATTCCAATGCGCAATCTAGGGGCATCCATGAAATCGTTAGGACAGGCAAGGATCAGTGCTCGTTGCATATCAATATCCTTCAGTCCATCTAAAAATGACTGCACTGCCAGCCTCCCTAACATTTCCTGGAACTTGAGCATATGCAAGAAAAACTGACCAAGCAATATCACCTTAATCTACTGGAGAGTTGAAGCCAACGTCTGCGCAGTAGCTTTGTACCTTTTGATTTGAAATTAGTTGATTTTCTAGTATTGATTTTAAGACCTTTAGTTTATTTAGTTATTTCAAATAAGTTATTGCCAGTAACTTTCTTCCAAGACTCAATATATTTAATTAAAGAAAATCTATTTCCTAGTAAAATGCTAACAAACATATATTGAAACATACGAATGCATAATATATAAATGCGGAATTATTTATTAGAAAATTGTCTCGGTTATTATTTATTACACACAGATTTAACGTTTATGTGGCGCAAGATATTTTTTGCAATGTGCTTACTCCCCGGAAGGAATGTGTAGTGACCACATTTCCTTGAATTTATAGCTATACATAAAAGAGTAATCGCAATAAATCAAAACTTTTCAGTTTCAGGTTTTAACGATTTGTTTAATGAGAATACAGACAATGTAACGTAAAAAATTCAATAAACGCGCTCTGATAAAAATATGCTAGCTTAGGCATGCTAGGAACCGATTTCTGCAAACAAAATAATTTTTTAGAACAATAGAACCAATACGACACATACTAAAACAGAAAATTATCAAACCGTAACACCACACACAAAATGTATAAATTATTAACCAAAACTAACTAGTCTCTAATAATAAATGTCTTCAGTTAGAGAATTTGATGCTAATTAATAATAATTAAAATAATTATAACAAAATAACCACCAACTGTCACCGAGGTTATTAAAACAAAAAAAAAATAAAATTGTTCTCTTATGCTCAGTGATATGTCTTTATTCTAGTGACATTTCTAAATGGTCACCTGAAAATCACTAAATAAAAATTGAAACCCTTCTATTCGCATACTCGAGATAAAAAGCGCAGCAATTTTATAAAAAGTTGAGAAGTGAGAATAATAATAATAGAATAATAGACAAGAAAATCAAGTATATGTTCCGTCTGGAGAACAATACAAGTTAATTATGAAATATTGGTACTTGGGATTGGGGAACAAAGATTAGCAATCGATATTCAACAAAATAATTGAAAAAGTTGCAAAAGTACGGGATTCGGCCAATAAATAGACCGAAACAGATGAAAATCAGAAAAAATTAGCTCTTAAAAATATGCTTGTTTTATTTAGTTGTCAAATCGTTGTAATTGTGTAACTGCAAGAAACTAGCAACAATAATTTTAATTGTTCAATGTTTAAGTGGTTACATTACTGGCTTAAAGAATACCTGAATGAAGAAAGGACCAGAGTGTATAATAAGTTTTTTCAAAGACACTTTAGTTTCGAATTTGTTTTTTAGTTTACTCTAGTTTATTAAAGAAATGTCTGAAAAAGTTTGTAAAATCGTTGCATAAAACCTACATCAAAAACATCATATAGCCAACAAACCTGTGACTAAAGTACCGAAAATATCCGAAGTGACTCACGACAGTGGTTAAGCTGACTTAAAGTGATACTTTCTGCACTTTTGATCAGTACACAATTCGGTATTATAACGTAGGAAGTCGAACAACTCTCTAATGACCATAAAAGCATTTTCCCTCAATTGATTTATGTTTCTAATAAGATTGATATGAAATGAAAGAATCAGGAACGGTAGAAAAAGTCTTTCTTGTTTTGGAAGATTAGCTCTTAAATTCTGAGGAGCTTTTTGAATTCCAAATATATCTGTTTGGTTAGTTTGGTTCCGTATTAAGTAATTTAAAATTTGTGAATGTAAATAGATAGTAAATAAGTAAATGTGGAGTAAATAGATAGTTAGGGGCATAGGTTTATAGATAGAAATCTACAGGATATGTGTTAACTATAAATCAGAAAATGACGAAGAATAGTACAAACTACTGCAAGGAAAAGGAATACAAATCATGGCAGCAGCATAAAAGCCTACTGTACCACTTCTGAATTCCTTTAAAAGATCAAGCAGTTTTTGACAACACAAAAACTGCCTTAACTTATGTTAGGGCGCAATTCTGGGAAATTACAAAAGACATCCTATTTTATTAGTTTTAAAAAATAGTCTCACCTTCCTCGTCTTGATAATATGAATTTTCTAAATGTTTAATATGAGGAAATCGCTCATTTGGTAACAAAGAAAAAATTATTTTTAAGGTATCAGCGATAATTCGATTTATTAAACTGCCTGAACTAAATTGAAACATTTCTGCCTAATGGAGTCCATACTTCGCTTATCTGCAAGTGATTAATGTATTAAACAAACAAAGCCTAATATTCCATTACATATTTATCCAACTTAAATTTCGGATAAAAATTAAATCAAATTTAGTTTGGATCTTCGCCAAGGAGTCGGGTTGAATTGCTCCTGAAATTCTTAAATAATGGAAAACTAAGCTCTTATCAGTGACAAGTTGCAATCCATTATTTATTTTCAATTAGTTCAAGTCCCATTATTTTTCTCCTTTTAAAAAAGAAACGCCGCTCGTATATTACGCTAGTTAATAAATCAGCTTCTGGCAAAACCAAGTCAAGCCGAATAATAAAATCGTATTTTTATCGCCGAGTTAGTAGAGACTATAATGTACTTATACTAAATTCCACGTTTTAATGAAACACTACAATTCTACGGTACTAATTAAAATTAGATAATAAATCTAGAGACACAATTTAAAGTTGTCACTTGTTGCAAGCTCTTGGCGAGTCGCTAAAAATAGTATATTATTTAATAAGATAATAAACGAGTGACTGAAAAAGTTTATCAACGTTTTCCATTTTCTACGAGCATTATTACCATGACAGTTACAATTGGTACCTTGCGACTGTGGATAATGAAGTTGATGTCTTACGGTGATATATTCCGCACGCTTTGTCGCTGCATAATTTGATATTTTGAGATGATAATATATCTACGACGTTAACCAGAGGATAAGATATATAACAATATATCCCAGAATATTAAAAAAAAGATTAAATTAAAACTATTGAATTCGTTATTATCTGAATTATCGAAAATGAAAAATATATTTCGGTGTCGCCATTTTAGAAGTGGGAGCTATCAATGCGGAGAGATTTAGAGACACTGAAGTATATCAAGTATGAAATCCCGAACAAACCGAGAGACATGTTTTCCCATGGGTGAAACACTACGCGTTAACACACGTCAATGGCCTGGGGGGGGGGGGGGGGGGCAGACCTACAAGAATACTAAAACCTATGAAGGAACCTACTACGCGCTATTATGCAGCCCAACTTCACTCGCTTATCATACCATAAGAACACGCGTGGAACTCTGCGACGCATGCGAAATAGGACTACTTAAAATGTACGTTACTCTAGAGCAAGACATCTAATCATTATCTGTAAGTCTATACCAGAAGAAGAGAAAATTAATTATGTCGGAAGTATACTATCTACGTTGAAACAGCAGAAAAAAAATAACCAGGACATCGCAAGGATCCTTAAATCAGCCTTCCCGGAAACCCGAAGAATTCCGTACACTAAAACAGCTCAACAGAAACAATTTTTATGAACTTTCTTGATGATCCCACCTACAAGCCATTAACCAACTAGAATTTTAATCAAAATAATAAAGCCCACCATCGCTTTTCTAGGGAATATAGATTTTTGTTCAATAGTTTGTCTAGACGACTTTTGTTCCTTCAATTTATAAACCTTAATAAGAGTAGATCAGTAGCAAACGTGTGCCCTAATTTGAAATTTATATACAATGCTTTAGATATGACAATCATATTACCAAAAAACAAACGGGAAAAGGTAAATAGTAAATTATGCAACAAGTGCGGTCAACGGCATTTGACTCACAAGTTTATTTGACACGAGCGGAGCGAGTGTTTACTAAACGAGTGACTTAAAAAGTTTACCGAACGAGTTGCATACTATACTTTTTCTACCACCGTTAGTTTTTAGGTACATTGTTGCAAAACAAAACGAATACATTCAACGTCAATATTCAAGGCGTGGGAAATATCTCCGAAAACATACCATTGCTCCCAAACATGTGCGGTAAAATCCCTAAAATGTCGGAAGTGGTTCTGATCCATCGGAAACGGAACTGACGTGGTAAAGTGACGCTTCCCGCACGGTGGGTCGGTGTGTAATTAGGCATTTTAGAGGCCGGAGTAAAAAGTTCTACATGGAGACACAGAATGAATGCTCACTTATGTGACGTAATAGTAAATTGTGCAACAACTTTGGTGAACGACATTTAAAAAACGTCTTTGGATACATATTGACAAAAGCGTAATGGTGAAGCTTACAATTTCCACACTGTTGATCGATGCATAATTCCCTATTTTAGAGCACGATATAGAAAAGTCATTTTACGTTGCGATTCAATTATTCTCCTTTGGTATATCTTGATAATACGAGTCAGAAAGTTCGGTTTTTTACCTGTAATTCAATGCTAATGCTATCTACGACTTATCTGATTAATAAATAGAAAGCAAACACTTAACTACCTTAAAAAAAAGTGTAATTCACTAAAGCTCTTCATTTTCCGATTGAAAACTATATAAATTGCAGTCAATTTAGCGAAAAGCTAAAACAGAAAATGGCAGACACTCACGCACACTTTTTTCATGTTTTTTGCACTATCTTTATATTAATTTTATGCATATGTTGCTCTATATCTCATGTTCTAGGACATTCATACAATATTGTGGGAGAGCATGTTACCCTCAACTCCAACGAGATGGAAATTGGTGACTGCAGCAACCCCAATAGCGAAGATTTATTGTATTACGGAAATAATTCGCTACCAGCACGTTCATCGATAGACGCAGCGGTGACTTTCTCTGTAAGTTGTATATCCCGTATTACCCAATCTTTCTCGTCTTTACCATTAACTAGGGCACCGATAAGTTGTAATTACAGACCGTTTTAATTAAATTACTACAGAATCTCCGTTACTGCAGATGATTGATAATTTTCTAATTAATTCGTCCATAATCCAACTTTACTGCAGCGCAATCTCAACTTTGCGTTATTCCGAAAATAAAGTTAGTTGGATATATGTTTTATAAATTCCCAAAAATATGAAATTGGTACTAATTATTAACTCCAATTAGTAAACTAACTACAAAATTTAGTATTGTTTAAGAACACTTCGATTTTTGGGTTATTGCTTTTGGTTAGAGGCCATTTGGGGTAGGCAGCATGGAAACTTCTAAAATATTTCTTTTATGATATATAGATACAAAAATCCAGGTTTGGCTGAAGAGTAATCTGGCTAAACTAACTTTTATTTTGTTAAATTATATCAACAATTTAGATATTATATATTTTAAATTGTAAAAATATATTCGCAGTTATAATAATATGTAGTATAGTAATGTTTATGTTGTTATGTACTTAAGTTAGTAGATTTTGCAGTTTATGAAGAGTTTTATTAACTTGGTTCACGAGAGTGTTTAATGAAGCCATTTTAAAGTGACACAGTGCATAATTGTGTTAGTAATATTATGTAAACATTAAAACTAAACAGATGGATTTACATATGAAACACTGGTTCTGCAATCCAGATTTTAAATTACTTCTGAGTGTGTTGTATACTATACTGTGTTTCTACTATTGGTTTTTGATTATATTTTTGTAAAGAGTGCGAGCATTACCAACTATAATTTTTTCAAATCAGTACAATCAATTATTTTGAGGCATTTTTATAATTTTAAATTTAATAATAAATAAACAAGTAGCTAGCAAATTTATTTTTCCATTTCGGTGTCAAATTCTGGAAAAATTCCATACATCACATTTTCTTCATGGGTTATAATATTTTTCCATCACCGTTTGGCCTTAACACCCGTTAATTAAACAATGCATTTCTTCTACTCCGGGGTTAGAAACGAACAGATGTTGTAGGTAGACTTTAGCCACGAATAGAATATTGGCGTTTGTTAATTCTGAAGGTCTGACAAAAATGTACACAAAAACTAATGATCGCAGAAAAGTACAATATGCAAAACTCTCTACTGTGCCAAAACAAACTCGTGACTGAAATGCTGTTTATCAAACTTGTTCCATAACATAATGATATTAATAATGTTACCAGAACAACGATGCAGATATAGGGCATGAATCTAACATTATCAGTTACCTAGCGGGTAGAACGACTCCCTAAAATGAATTGAATTTATTTATATTTAGTTAGTATGCTTTCTTAGATACTTTGAATAATAATTTGGCTAACATAGTCTTAGACACAACTAAATAACATATAATTAAAATTACAAAAATTTTAATACGCTTCAATAAAATGCATTTTTTTTTTAATTTTTAAATTTAAGCTTGACCCCCAATATCCGTCAGCTAGGTCTGGATTTATTTATTTATATTTCAAATGTATATTGTTTTAAAAGTTTTTACAATCCTCAAATACGTACCGAAAACTGTCTTTCCCCTTTCGGGTTAGTGACTTCGTTTCAGCTAGACGGAATGGAGTTGAAAATCGGAGAGTGTCGAATGGAAAATAGGATTGAACAAATATGTTCTACATATCTAACCAAATATATTCTACCCAAATTATTGACTATTAAATATTAATTAGTTTTTTAGCGTATTTATAATTTGTTCGGGCGCCGAGGGATTATCTAATTAATCAAATATGAAATTTTCCAATTCAGTTTTCTCCAAGAGATAAATACCTGAAAATTTTAATATTATGAAATATCTTTCCTAGTTCAAAGATACATGTTTTTGTGCGATTTTATGGAATACCATAATTTATTTTGATAACAATCGATATTATAAAAATAAATGTATACATGCAAGAAAAGTTCGGATGTAGATGAATAAAACTTTTTTTATTCATTTGCTGCAAACACAAAAGATAGAAATGTCTAACAAATTCCAGTAAAACTTTAAGTCCGGCTTATTATGTGCACACCATATTACGTCGACAGAGTATGCCGGGTCACTTAATGAAGTTCAATTATCAAAACTCTCAAGCCTAACATATTGGAACATTTTTTTATGTTATGTTTATGTTTTAACTCAATCATTTTCAGACTACATTTTCCACCAGAGGTAGCGAAATCATTTACTGTTTGATGTTAAAAGGCAACGACGATACTGCTATCACCATTACTGCCGGTGGCATCAATTCGCAAAGCGTCACTTTTGTACAAAACTGTAACGCGGGCCGAAGTTCAGAAGCTGTACTCTTGGTATATGGTAGATAAACAAAAAGTATTACATGATGTCTAAATAAAACCAGCAATTATACTGTTTCATTACAAGCCCCAAATTGGTTTTGGTCACCGTCACCAATTTCAACCCCATCCCATATGATTCTAAATATCACATCAAAAATTACTTAGTTTATTATTTATTATTAGTATTATAAAAATAATATTAGAATTAACACTTAATATACAGTATGTTCTGTTTGAAAAAAAAGTTTTTCAGCTCTGAAAATGATGCAATTGGTTGGTAAATTTTGGACACCCTGTATGTCAGAAATAATGCCAATTTCGAAAGGTTGTTTTCGTTTACCATACAGGCATTAGAAACAGTGAAAAATACTTAAGTTTCAAATAATAATACATCTTTCAAAATTTTAAAATTAATAAAAATATTTAAGAAACTATTGAGATTAACTATACAATAACTCCAAGAAACCTGCCATTAAAATCGCCTTTATATTGAAGTTTTTAACCCAAACAAACTAGTAATATTTTTCTTTGGCAGACTCACTTACCAATTTAAAAGTTCACTTTCGGGAAACAATCATTTTCTTATTTAGTTTCTCCCAAAGAACAAAAAATCAAAGTTTTGCGTGGCAGCTAAATCAAATAATTTATTTGATATCCCAATATAAAAAGAGAGACAAACACAAGATAACATAGACAAAAATTTGGCGTTTTAGAGGCGTCGCCACCCTTGTAACTTTCGTAACTTTCTTCGGGTTCGTCAGCCATAAACCTGCTTTGAAGGACGGGCAACGGAGAAGCACCGTGCGTGTAGAAAAAAAAGGAAGTTTCCTCCGGTATCGAGATTTTTTCAGTCGTAGTGGAAGTAGTTGTCGTTAGATATGAAGAATTTGTCAGATACACGTGTTGAATATGCAGTTTTGGAAATTTCAAAGGCGCCTTGATTGTAAAGTTTACGTCGTTCTTGTAATACCCATCGGCTTGAACCTGAAACGTAGAAAAGGCTATACCTGATTTTCAAACTACATCATAAAAAGTATTTCATTAGTTATGATTCTTTTTATTTACCGTAATTATATTAAAAAATTAATTGTTAACAATACTAATATTTTAAATTAAAGCGGGGGCCATTTTAAACAAAGCCTTTCCGTTGCTTCTTAAAACCTCTAGCAGTTAATGCTGTTCTTATTGTTCTTTCGTTATATGATTTCAACTATCCCCGATCTTACTCAAAGTATGAAGCGAGGCACGCAGGCAAATTAAATATAATTGTTAGTTATCCTAGCTAAAAAGCTAAGAAACCATGAAAACAATAATTTTTAAAATTAAAGTAATTGGTTTAACGCTTACATTTTTCCTTAAAAGTTTTTTGAAATCTGATAAGTCGTTTAGAAGATACAGTGAATAGTTTTAGGCGCTTCCCGCACAATTGTTGAGGTCGTTACGCCAGAGAGCAACAGACAAAAATTTTGCTGAATTTCTAAGACTTTCTAATGGTATCATTGAAATTAATTTGAAGAGAATTTTCAGAGAAATCATGTGCGGAAATGTGGCCGCTATCTATTTTAGTAAAAAATCTGTTTATCTCAGTCTCTCTTAATGCAATTAAACATACCATCACTATAAATTACCTCCAACGTATATTTTCCAGGAAGCAACAATCTCCAATACTCTCCGGTATGATTTCGGCTCCTAAAAGTTATGTCCCTTTCTGAAATTTTTAGAACCGCATTTCCTATTGGCTTTTTAGTAAATTTATCCAAAATTCGACCAGTTACCCCATTCAGAGCCTCCAAACTGTATTTGACCAGTGCCTGCAAAACGTAACAAATAATTTTACTTTCAATTTTAATCGACAATAAGTGCAAGAGCTAAAAAAGTAAAACCCACACTTTTATTTTCATCCCACAGGTCTGGCAAATACTTTTCGGCGGGATATTTACAACACGAAATTTCCAGAGTAACTTCCATGCACCCGTGTCGAAAGTAATTATAATCTTGCATTCCGCCTGAAAATGACACATTCTAAAAACGACTCTATAAATCTACAATTTCGCTAACCTGCAACTGCATACCATTCCGCCCCATTCGTAATTCCCCCATCGAAGGCTGGAGAATAATCACAACCCAATCCTAAATGCATAGTTTTGTGATTATTGGAATAAACTTTGGCCAGATGAACGAAAACGTCGTGGTCTGGTGTTACAGAGGGTACAGTGTCCTTTGACGGAATTGACTCTAAAATGTAATATGCAGTATATAATTATGGAACGATGCGCCATTAGTCATTCGCCAATTCTTCACCACCACCCTTATTTTTCCATGATAATTTATTGTAAACAGGTTGAACCTACCAATATATCGTTCCCTTAGATGGTTTATTAACTTTGTATCATTCAAAACACTTGCCTGTCGCAGAAATTTCTGCCATTCTAAAAACGTCAATTTAAATTATATTTTTTTGATTTTTCAGGCATCCGCCAATCAGTCAATAACAAAAATGTTAAGCGTTGTAAACGAGTTAGCTTAAATCGTTTTTCAGTGTGTGTATTATGTTTTTTTTGTTTAATTTGTAGGAGCTCGAACTCGACAATATTATTCAGACTCTGTTCATAATACTCACGAACAATTGACAAAAATTCAGTAAAACACAAAAAAAATTCTATCACTCCAGAATTTGAGTAAAACCAAGTTAGAAGTACTTTAAGTATCATTTTTATCACAAAAAAATAGAATAAATGAAATAATTTATGTGAGTTATCTTATTACTTGAAAAAAATGCTTTTATAGGTCTGATGATGCTCGTGTGGGCGAACATATAAATAATACTTTTTAAGACATCGACGATTTGTTTTATTTTACAATAGAAAAATGCCTTAAAATTATAGACTCTTTTTAAAAATAATATACTGGCTATTGCAATTCCAATATTGTGCAGTTTATGAAGTGTCTCTTATTGATAGATTAATTAATTGTGGTGACAATTAACAAGTTTGTTTCCAAAGTTTATAACGTATACTTGAAAACAGGTTACTGTTACAATATAGTACCTTCCTAGAAAAGTTTATTTACCTACTTGTTTCTTTCACCGTGTCGAAAGGGTAATTCGCCACCATGGCTCCGCCATGTAATGCGGCTGACAAAATGAACGGAGTTTCATCCATCCATTTCATAACGGCTTCCGTTTCTAATTGTTGAGGTACGTTATTGCGGTGGTAATAATCAGGAAAGCTTCTATTCAAGTCTACCAAACCCCTGCCGTTTGTTCGCCATCTATCGTCGGTGCAGTCCAGCACGGAACGGTTGTATCCGTCAGGATTCATGGTCGGCATAATGTGAATTTTAGTATTGTTCAATAGCCAAGTTATTGTAGGGTCTTTGTTGAGGTAACCATCTCTTAAAAGCTGCGCCAATCAGATGTGAGACATATACATTTTCGGAATACAATGAAACTATTATACTTACATAAAGAAATTGAAGAAGTATTTCCCTGCCTACAGCCTCGTTACCGTGAATATTGCCTATGAATTTTATATTTGGAACACCGAGAGCTCGTTTTTTAGAAGCAGTTATCTCTACCACCCATAATTCATTTTCTGTAAGTACAAAATTTGGATACGTTTCAACTTATGTTTGTGGAAAACTAAAATACTATAATTAAATTTTAAGTAGCAAAAATTTAACAGGTTTTTTTATATTAAGGAATTAATGGGCTCTTTGCTGTTTTAAAATATCGATTTATGTGGTTGACATTTCAGCAATTTTATTGCCTTCCTAAGGACTCTAAAAGACATTGCATAAACTTAAAATCGTATGGAAATTTTTTCTTCTTTTGTTTTCAACAATTTACTGTAAATTGAACAAAGTATACCGCCAATAGCTTCAAAACTGAAGAGAAATTGTGATAAATATGTGTCAGTTCTTTATTATCCTTTTTATCTTGTTTATCTTTATCTTGCTTATTTTTGCTTGTCAATAACGGCAACTTTAAGTGTCAACAAATCGACAAAAGCAAGGGAATGTAAATTATCGATTAAATCGCAATTATTAATTATCAATTACAAAAAACAGAACAGCAAGTTACTTACGATCTAAGGTCTGTCCGATGGAATAAATTTTCGATCTTAATGGAAACCGTTGAGTTTCCATTGTAAAATTTTTCAAAATTCCTTCAATCTCCACATTACTGTGATACCTCAACCCTACAGCGTGTCTTATTCCAAAATTAGAGCAAGCTATGAAAAAACATAATCGCACAAAATACCAGTTACACACTGATAACATTCTTTCGTATCGAATGTGGTTTTCCAGGCAGTTTATATTAGACTATCGCTGGATGGTAAAATTGAACTCGGTGAGTGTGGTTAATGGCGTCCCCACCTATTTTGGTCGAAAATAGAAAAGAAGGAAAATGTGTGCGGATTATCTAAAGAAACTTACCACAACGATTAAAATTGTGGTTAAAAATATTTTTTAGCACGACAAATACGTTTGATTTCTGAGTTATTCTTCGATTGAGAACATTTTTCTTTCTTTTTCAAATTATGAATTAATGATATAATTTACATCTTCTCCGGCTACCCAACTAGTTTGTGCACTTTAGTCAAAACATATTTCTACCAGGGAAAATGCTAAGTATCTTCGTGGCTATTTGAATATACTTTTTTAAATCGACAAAAGAAAGCAAAACTAAAAATTGATTTGCTTAGGCTGACCTATTTTTTCCAAAAAAAAAACTGCTGGTTAAACAACAATTTCAATTTGTTTTCAGTCACTATTTTAACAGTACAGCATACACAATCATCTAAATTTACAAAACAATTTTGAATTAACGAAATTTTCATGGTGCCTTCAAAAAATCTGTCAATCATAGACATATATATGTTTCGGTTTAATAATGTTCATTCTAACTAGTACCAGATTGACTCTTTTTAAAATGGAATTGTAAGTGCACTCCTTGAAGACATCTGACGCAGCAGACGAATTGTACCGACATTATCTGTACCGTTGTACTGCATATCTCGAGATTAATTTCTTAGAATTTGCAAGCATCATAAAATCGACGAATTTGTGAAGGCATTGTTTTGCTATTTTTCTGCTAATTGTTAGATTATTGTTATTATAATTTTCATGTTAATCACTAATGTTAGAAACCTCGAGGGTTTGCGAATATCTCGTTTTATCTGTTTCAACAGGTTATTAATTAATTTTATTAATAATGTTATTAATAAATTATTGACTATAAATTTATATTCAGTTCACATAACGGCACAGAAATAAAAGTTGTAATTTGAAGCACTAAAAGTTATTTTTAAAGCAAATAACTAGATTCTGTTATACACAAATAGGAGATGATATCTTGTAGGATGGATCCGGTTTTCTTGTGACAAAAACTTCTTCCACCTGTAATTCTTTCAATTAAGTATGTTTTCAGTTTACCGACAGTTTGCCTACAGTTCTCTAAAATGATATTAACAGCTCAAGACACAGGCGACACTGAATAAAATTTGCAATTTGTAGTTGGCAGTTGGTTTAAGTCTTTTAAATCGAACACTTTAACACCATTTAATATTGATATGCTAGAGAATAACAATTGCCACACAAGAAATTTGTCAACGAGAAAGTTCAATTATTATATTCGCATTTCTATAAAGCACCACAATAATTTATTTTTTGCTTATATGATAATCTACACAGACTTTTCGTTTTTGGTTATTTTTTTTCTTTCTGCTCTATATTCTATTGCCATTGTTTTATTGCGTTAAGAAAATTACGACATATATTATATTGGCATAGGCATAGGCATACTGGTTTAATTTATAAATGACGTATTTATATATGGCTTACAGTTCTATAAAATGATTGGCATACAAAACTAATTATTTTCACGTCTTAAAATTTGTTATAAGCTAACGGCTACTTATAATGGTTTTCTAAGAAACTTCGGAGGTAGACCAATGTATATGTATTTTGCACATTTTGGTTACGTTTCATAGCGGTAACGAAAATAAATATGACAAGCGAATCGAATGAACGTAGAATGGCCCTGGCTCAACCCCGTTTGTTTTTCAGCAACTCGGCCGGTTTCTGAAATAGGAGCAGGATCGCGACTATGTAAACTAAACATCGCTCGGTAGCCAGTCAGTCGAAAAGAGAAACCGTGCACCACTTAAATACGTAACGACACATTCTTTGTGGTTATAAAACTAATTCATGTTTAATAAAGGTCACGGCAAAAAAAATCAACATTTCTGGTTTTATAACGGAAACCGTTATATTTTGATTACTTGTTATATAAAACCTGATGTTTGATGATGTTGATGTCAGGTTCGCGAAACCTTTTCTTTACTGTTATGAAACCGTTGTCATATTCAACGAAATATTGTAAAGGTATATTATTATATATTTTAATTCTAAATTTTACTACCCCAAAATTATTAGTGTGCAACGGTCCAATATCAATCATAAGCCCGCTTCGCAGTTACTGTTCATTTATTGGTGTTTAAAGCAAGTGTGTTTGGATTTTCTACAATAGCTGCTATTTTATTTTCCAATGTAATACTTTGCATATAATTAAAATAGGTAATCAAAATCTAGTAATTTCAAACCATCAGTGAAAATTAATTTACACGAATTGCAATATATTGTTTAACAAAAGGAATAGGTAACAAGTACAGGTAAATTTGCATAGAAAATGCCAATGACTACATTTGTGCTAGAAATATAATGGCAAAAAATCGTATTTTATGCGGGAGCACGTATCATTGGTTCTATTTTTAGACATTTCGGGATACGACATTATAACGTGCAAGCACTTATTGCAGTAATATACAAGCCTTTACCCATTTTTAAAGAAAACATTTCACTTTTGAAATTTATTTTATTGCCATTCGATCTTTTCAGTTCTTCGATTATTTATTTAACGGGTCTTATAAGTTTATAGTAATTATTATAAAAACTAGTATTTGGTATGCAGAAGTAGCGGAAAGAAGTGGAATGGAATTAAACGTAACAAAATAGTATCTATACAACATTTTTTTTAGATTTTCAATTCTAATACTTCGTAAATTATAAATTACAATTTACTCGCCGACTTTGCCTAGATTCATTAGTTTAATTTAGTTAAAATCATTCAAAGATTGGGCACAATAGCTACTGCGCAATAGCTACTGCAATAATATTTACACATAACAATATAACTTCATCTTCAAATCGAACTTGCTGACGTGTCGCCAATAATTCTGTTGGATTCTTCAGAGCTTAACTGAAACTGGTTTGAATTCTGCTCTGCATCTGCTTATATACTGTTTGACGTGGAGGAGCTAAAAGAGAGGATTGAGCATTATCTAGGAAGAATGATTTCCATTTGAAGACAGGTAAAAACCTGATCCGCGATTATGATTGGTGGTATTGGTATTAGTATTGGTATTAAAGGGGGCGCCCTCGTGGGCGTCCAGGCACTTAGGCCACCAGATGGGCCGGTTGTGCCCCCATGCCGCTCTAGAGGGCGTCCAGAATGTCGCCCCTCCTATAGAAGGTCAGCAACTCCTTTAGCTCAATACCGTGCACTGAGTCCGGATCGATCAGGGTCGTTCCGAAGACTCCCAATCTTGCCCATGTCAAGGCAGGACACTCGGTGAGCAGATGATACGGGGTCTCCTCCCCTTCCATGCACCACCTACACTCCGGGTCGTCTCCAATGCCTAGCAAGCAAAGCCTGCAATGTCCTGTGCAGGCCCCTGTTAGTGTTCTACACTCCCTTCTGGTCAGTCTAAGCAGCTCCCTGGTCCGAGGGAGGGCGGGCCCATCCATCATAAGTCTCGCCTGCCTCATTCCCGGAGCAACTCTCCAGCCCTTCGCGGCCCGGTCTCTCACCTAGGCTTCGAGAGCTCCCCGCCTCACACACGGGGCGATCCCCAAGCGGGGCTCTGGTCCTATATGCCTATGCGAGGAGCCCTCTCTGGCAAAGGCGTCGGCTGCCTCATGATTGGTGGTATACAGATTTATATGGTTCTCGGATTTTTTTTAGGTAGAAGAATTGATTACCTAAAAGAATTTTAGTTTAGTCGAATAAGATTTGATCTTCGTTTTCACGATTGTGCTCGCCAAGTGCTGATGAGTTAAATGGTCGTAGTTTTCCTTTATCCTAGTTTCGTCCTGTGTCTCCAATGTATTTTTTCTGCATATGCATGGAATGCTTTAAACTCCTAGTCTCTCAAATGGAATTTTGTCTTTGATGGGCCGAAGAGGGTTATACAGGTGGTAAGTCTGTTTAACACTATACTTCACCTCTTGATATCTGGTCAATGGTGTTTTGAATGTAAGCAACGACCACAGTGGTGCCTTTGGGATTAATTCTTTCGGGGGTGGTGGTGAAGCGTATTTTGTGATGGAACGCTTAATATCCCTAATGTGGAAATAATTAGCTGTTTTGATTAGTAATAATCGAAAAACTAAAATAACTTTTTTTCTAGATAAGGTATTTCTGCAATAACATATGCCCAGATAATAGTCCACAGTTACGTAGTGATTTTTGTAAATTTGATTTCGAGTTGATAACAAGCAGTCCCTAGTTGCCTCAATCGAACGGATGTGTAAACGCCGCAGTTAAAGTAGCAAAAAATTTAATTAAAAAAAATGACAACATTCATAAAGGTTTATTAGTCTAAAGAACTACCCGCATAGAATGTGGTTTGGCACCAGCGGTTATTTGTTGGTTTGACGTTTATGAGTTTGTCATAATGGTTAAAAGTCAGAAATATATTCACGTAATTTCCCACAAGGTGCTTGGGTATTAGTATTCTAACTTAGTCGGTTTTGGTTTTGGTTTGCCGATGATATAACGCAAACACTAGAAGTGCGCGTCCACAACGTTATATTAGTTGCGGTGCAGTTGTTATAAATTCATTGTCCACCGTCTACCAGGTTCTGGATAGGTGATGCATAAGTCCGATAATATCTTTAAGAACGTAATTGGAAAATATATGTTATATTACGAATTTTTTATTATTAAAAATAGATGGGCATTCTTGATTTTAGATACATGACTTCTGAACTTGGTCTATTAAGATAATTTACAGTAGCACAAAGGTAAAAGTTGAAAATTGTGTGTATACAACCAAGTTACATCAGACTGCATGGAATTCTACGCAAGCTTTTCGATAAGTTAGCACATAGAAAAGATACAGGGAGTAACTTGTCAAAAATAGAGAGAGTTTAGGAAATTCTGTTCGTGGCTTCTTCCGTTTCACAAAACCTAGCTCAATCAAAAGCCGCAACTTTCTATTTCTAAAGATAAGTCAGCAAAGTTCACTAAATTGAGTTACTCAGTACATATATTATCGGCTAATACATTATAGTAAAACATGCATGAATTGATGAGAGTTCCGTTTCGCCTTAAGCCTTTAGTGATGTTTTTTTTTAACTCAAACAAGGAACATAATTTGAAATATATATAGGTAAGTTATAACATACTGATATTAATCAATAACTAATTAAATTCAACTTCAAAAAATAATGCAACATGAAATAATAACTAAGAAAAAACTATGTGTTATAGTTTTTGAGATGGAGCAATCGACAGGGATATGAAGACAACAAAGAATGAACGTAAAATAATCACTGTAAAAAATTTGAGTAGTTCAATTCTAACAGCCAAGCGTCTGCGCCGAGAATATTTGGAAATTCCATAACACGTTACACCCCGCTTCAATTCCTTAAAAGTTTCGGTGTATCTTTGCTACTTTTAAGACATCCCTATAGACGGATAATATTTTTAGTTATCTGTAGACCTCACTCTATATTGCGTAGGATTAAAGCAATTATATAAATTCCGTAAAAAGGGATGAAATGCACACATTAAAAAATTTAAAAGGTAATTCAGGACGTCAGAAGGTGAGAAAAAAAATTACATCTTTGTAAAAGAGATTCAGCTTCAACTCGACTAGAGTTTGAAAGTGTATATATTGACTTCGCCAAATTTTCTTCGAATAACTAGAATCCGTCAAAAATGGCCCTTACCAACTGTTATTGCATTTCATGAAAAACCAAGCATATATAACTGATAACATGAAGTAAAATGGTGGTAGAACAAATATTAGTCAGATTAGTTATATTTTTACACAGAAAAATAAGTCACTTTCCGTTGGTATTATTCTTACCAAAAAATGAGATTTTTGACCCAATATACCATAAAGTAGAGATAAAAATAGTCTAGATTTTCCCTTCGTTTGAAACACCTTGTATACAATTTAGAAACTATATGTCAGCTTTTATGACAATTCCTGGACGTATGCATTTGTCAATGGACATTGCAAAAACGAGCTTAGCAATTTCAATAAAAGAAGATATCCAAGAAATAACGGCTACTGTACGAAATCTCGAAAAGACCTGTAGTGTTCCCGAACTGAACTCTTGGTTGTTCCCCAACAAACCTTACACGTTCGTAGACTCGATCACGGTGCAGAGTGGAATATCCTACGAAAAATCTTTGGAATTTTTACTCGACAGGTACGAATTTATTTCATGAATTAGCTCCCAAAAGTGTTTTCTTTTTATTCTAGGATTTATGTGTCTATAAGATTTTTAACCAGCCATTTAGAAAAACATAGTCAAAACAGATGCTTTTCGCAGAACCGTTGGATTTCTAAAATATGTAGTTTTAGTTTTGCTAACCTAATCAATATTTTGGTTACTTCCGTGTTGGAATTCACCGAAAGCCATAAGGTAAAGTACTTCGTTCGCAAACTCGAACAGTAAATAAGGCTAAGACGAAAAACAAATAATTCATAAATAATTATAAAACTATCATTTAGTCGTCGTTTCGCAAAGTTTAGATAAAGGAGACCAATTGTGCTTTTTGTGTGACTCCCACCTTATATTTATTTAGAATGAACTAACGGATTTCTTTCGTAATAACGTGCGACTATTTGAGCTGTGCATATGTGTAAAAATTTTTAGCAAACAAAGAAAACGGAAACCACAACAGCACGAAGTGACGATAAATGCGATAAAGAAGTTCAAACTGATATCTTTTCTCTGAATAGATGTGACAGCTGTGCTCTGGCAATATCATGCATGAAAAATTTAATTACATTCTTCGAAAACAGTCAACAAAACAGGGGAGGGATTAAAAGGTATCATCATACATCATTTTTTAGCAATACTTACCAAGGGTACCATAACATGTTAAAAACTCCTTAGGTGAACTTAAATATCAATATATAAAACAAATTCCTTCAAATTCACAGTACGAAATGTGACAAAAATAGCGTTGAAATTGGTAAATATTTTTATACTAACATCGCAGGTTATACATATATAGGGCATACTATTGAAAATAACAATGTATCTATATTCCATTGCAACGATGCTTTATTCAAGACTAGAACACCAAATTTTCAAAAAAAAAAAGGTTATCCGTAAACCTCTAACTTATATTCGATAAAGGCACTAACCAAAACTAATCATTAACTGTAATGACGATTTTATCAATAATTTTAAGTGTCGTAGTTGGGCTCTTGTTCCTTTATTGCTTCTTCAAATTGTCTTGCAATTTTTTTTTCTTGTTTCTTAAGATCGTCGAACGATAGCATCTTTCCCAGACAATGGAGACAAAGGGCGGTCCTTCAAAAGCCGTTAAGTCTAACTAGAAGATAGTTAGATGTTCTTTAGTTAAATTATCTTGACTAAAAACGTTTGCGCCAAAAACTTATTTTTGTAACGATCAGAAATACCGACAGGTATTTGAAGCAGAATCGGTTTTGTTGTATTTAATTTACTATCCGATTGATATTTTTCTATGAAATTATTTTCGCGGGACTTTTTTCTTTTAGACTAAAAATTGAATGCAACGTATATGATACAACTCAATTCGGATGCATGCTCAAAGTGACATCAACAATCGAAAAACATGTAGAAGCATTATTTGAAAAGCTGCATATTTTGAAACAAAATTACGATAGCCTAAGACAAGAAAACTGTCATACCAAAAGCTTGCTAAGAGAAAAATCTATTCACGAAAAATTTGTTAAAGCAGAAAATAGGACCTTCAAGGAAAAATATGAAAACTGTAAAACAAAAGTCTTCCCTATATATTAAACTAATATGAATTACTTTTCAGGTTTGTCAGCATTGGCTATATCCAAAAGTGAAAATATAGACCTGATTCGGAAGAACGAGACAAACGATAAATCGTTAAACAAAGCCAACACACTTGTGCAAAATCAAAAGCAAATAATAAATCAACTGAACTCAGAAATCGCCCGGTTGTCAATAGAAAACAAGAATTGTTTTAATACTATCGCGAAAGCTAGGACTTTATTAAATGGCTTCCATGAATATTTTAATAAAAAATCGACGGTCATTGAAAAATTATGCGACCTATTCGCGAACTCGACTTGCGAGATTGAAAAAAGCGTTCACGGCATTAATGGAAAACACATCAAACTTGCGAAGCAGTTGACAAAATTTGACTTGAGAATAAAAAGTTCTTTCGAATTGACTAAGGAATTTCAAAGCAAATATGAGGATTTTAGTGTAAGTGTTGCTAGTAGTTATTAACAATGCGAGAGCCTTCGCGACCTAACTTTTTTTCAAATTTAAATTTTTTTTAACGCAGAGAAAAGGTGTTGGTACGGGTCTTTATTATCTGCCTTTAATGTTTGTAATTTAAATTGTAATCTTTCTACCGGACTACGGGTATTCCACAAGGAGGCACACTGACAACAATGGTACCTTCGATTCTTAATACATGTCTAATTTTATATGTGTACAAGGTAACCAAACAAGAATGCAAATTTTCATTTTATTACTCCATCGAACCCTTTTACTTATGATATGTCTAATTCCAATTGATGTTGGCTAGGCCGCGTCCAACTGTTGCGAGCCACTTCGGTCATTTCCGCTACTTTAGTCGCGTGTTTGGGAACGATCGGATGTTTTCGGTAGATTTTAGCCACTGATAGCCCCCTCGTTTATTAAACATTTAAACACGTCCTATTCTAAACACATGTACAGAATTTTTCTTCCATTTTATTGTCTATAACATTTAAATAACATAAGCCGAATATACGTTTTTAACACTTTTATTTTCCGTTGCCTTCTACAAGTATGTCTACCATAGAACATATAACCCCCAACCATGGAATTTCTCCCTGGTTGTATCGGTTGCCTGATGGCACATCCCCCTTTTTATAACAAAGCTGGGGTTCGCGAATATGGACAGATAACTTAAACATAGTCAGATAAATATGGAGGCCTTTTAACGTCACGCTTTGGCCTAGCCGGTGTCGCAGTTTTATGCACTGTAATATCTTGCGTAACTTCAGTCTTTAGGTCGCGCACTTCACCTGAATCACTCTGAGGGAGAGCACATCCTTCCATACTTGGATTTCCGTTAGTTTCTTTTGACACAATTGGATTAGATTCGCGATATTTCCACGAGGAAGATGACGCGCTACTTAGATTAGTATCCAACAAACAGTTTTGAAAACTGTAAATATTTATTCGAAAATAATAAACCAAATTTTTAAATATTTCATGCTAACATACAGTGACTCGCAGCTTAAATGATGCAGTCGCTATAACAAAAACTAACTGGTCTGAATGTCTCCTTAATTATTTGGAAAAAGAAACAACTTATTGAAATTGAGTTAGTAAAGAGCCTTCTAAAAAAGTGTGAATTACTTTTTGTCTTAAGTATGCCTTACTTAGTGAACAATAAAAAATTAATTATATTATATACAATACTGACTCTTGACTGGAACCTTCGGCACTGTACCAACACACAATAACGCGTTTTACCACAAACCGAAATTCAATTTTACGTATTCGACGCGCGTTTCGCCAACCAAGTTGGCATCTTCAGGGGAAGATTAAAACTAATCTTCTAAACTTAACTTAATCTTCTCCTGAAGATGCCAACTTGGTTGGCGAAACGCGCGTCGAATACGTAAAATTGAATTTCGGTTTGTGGTAAAACGCGTTATTGTGTATTAACGTCACAGCTTAAAAGACGCAAAACAAAAAACAACCAAATCAATAGGGAAAAACAAATGCATAATTTGAAATACTCCTGCTAATATTTAGTCGAGCCTTCCTCATTATCGATAATGGCTTGTAGTCTTCTGGGTATTGATTCAACTAATTTTCTAGTATACTCCGGGGAAATTGTGTCCCATACTTCAGTAATTTTTACTTTTAATTCATTCTTGTTAGATATTGGGGCACTATTTATTTTGTCATTAATGTCAACCACAAATTTTCAATTACATTTAAGTCTGATGACTGGGCTGGTGTCTTAATAACGTTTAGGTAGTTAAGCAACCAACTGCGGACCCGAAATGGCGTGTGCTTTGGATCATTGTCATGATAGAACCGATAATTGTTACCCATATTTAATGTTTGGGCACTAGCAACCTGATGCGCTCTTAATATATCCAAATACACATATTGGTTCATATTTCCTTCAATGAAATGTAAATTACATACTCCTGCAGATGACATACACCCCCATAACAGTATTCAACCTGCACCGCGCTTTACCGTAGCTTATAAATTTTTCAATTTAAATTCTCCTTAGGCCCTCTCCATAATGATATTTTTCCATCGGATCCAAAGAAGTTTATTTTGGTCTCATCGGCAAATATCCAGACATTCAAATCTTTATCAATATGCTCTCTTGCGAGTGCCAATCTCACGCGTCTATTTCTTCGGCTAATGAAAGGCAGTTCGACCATGTAAATTATTTTTTCGCAGGATTCGTCGAATTGTTCAGTTGTTTTCCAAACTGTCTTTCCACTTCGAAACACATCTCTGGAGCACTTTTTGATACCCCTCTTACAATGATCCTCCAATTTTTCCTTACGTTCATTGAAGATCTTATTTGGAGCTAACCTTGATTTGTTTTCGACCCTATTTTCATCGCAGTAACGCTGAATGATACAGCGAACAGTTCACAGACATTTACATAATTATTACAGAATTACAGAATTTCATATAATTGAATTAATTATTTATTGTTAACTAAGTAAGGCATATTTAAGTAAAAAAGTAATTCACGCCTTTTTAGAAGGCTCTTTACTAACTTAATTTCAATAAGTTGTTTTTTGCCAAATAAAAGCGCCCTTCAAATCAGTTACTTTTTATTATAGCGACTGCATCATTTAAGCTGTGAGCCACTGTATGCAGTATAGGTAAAAACATCAATGAAATGAATATACTTTTGTCGAAACTAAACTTACGTTTTGATGTTATTGTTGGCAAGTTAATTTTTTGGGCATTTATTTGTCCGTGCTTGCTCCGTATGTTGCACTTGTACTTTGTATTATTTATGCTGCTGTTTTTTAAATTTCTTGAACACGAAAGAAAAATAAATAAGAATAAATACCGGTGTAATCGCTTCTTCCACAACTTTTTTACCAGCAAATTTTCTTTCTTCGATTTTTTAAGCTATGATTAAGACACGGAGGTATGCTTTTACTAGACTATTTAGATCATATATTTTCATTATATTTTTACATGTGGCTATTTTTGTGCTGTTTTAAAATATTTCGTTTGCATCCATTTCAGAAAAGCATTATCGTTTCGCTTAAAAAGTAAAGCAACATCAGAACTCATTTCGTATTAAAAGATCTCAAATTTGCAACAAATAAATATTTTTTCATAAAACTTAAAAGTAACCTTACTTTTTGAACACATCTCGTATCTTATATTTTTGGGTGTTAATTACGTAGGCGGGGATATTCGGACAATACAAATATTACACTCGCTATATAAAGAGGGGGTGTAGATATAAATCTTTTGGTTGTAAATATGTGTAATGGCAGTCCCACTTTCAATTAGAAAGAAGAATTGAGTTACCCCGTGACGGCAGGTATCATTATTCCTTTTTCGAAGATTAATAATGAAGACATGCTATATTTATTTGAGCGATGATTTCTATTACATTAAGGTGTTTTTATATTTTCTTACTGTTGCAACATTAAGTTAAAAGCCAGTTCCAATATCAATAATGTAATAAATTGTTACTTTTAGACTAAAATCATAACCGCGGCAAAGAAACAAATGAACCAAGAAAGCGACTCAGACCCGAAACAAATGAAACTAAAAGGCGATCCGGTCGAAGATTTATCTCAACGAATCATGAATAACGAAAATATGATTAAAACCTTACAAAACGAAAATACCAGACTTTTGCAGTTACTGCAAAAAATTAATAGTATAAAGTCTTGATATACGTAGCCACAGCAGATCTCAACTCATTAAAAAAAAATAATTTCTTTCAACATAATTTTATTGTGTAATTAAATTTTTTTTTTCGTATATACAGTGTGGTAAAGTATTAATATCAATCTAGCAAAACACAGAACAAACATATGATAGTAAAAATCTCTTTCTTACCAATGAGCGTTATTTAGGACATAATAGATGAAACGCGTTGATAAAAATTTAGTGTGTTCGCTTGAGTATTTTATAATGATTGAGTTACCTTGTATTCATGTTTTAATTATTAAATCAAAATAGATCCTGAATACGGAAAATGTGTTTGTTATTCCAGCTGCCTTTGCGATTGCTTATGTTAATATTTATTTCAATTTTTTTATATTATATAATTTATTATCAACGTTTCAAAACAATTGTGAAAGTGTGACTGCATTACTAGGCGAACAGCAATTTGAGGTATATCAATTTTACATCTACGTGGTTCTTTGGCGTGCAAATGTTGACTTTTTGCATGATAGTAGATCATTAGCTTATTTACAAAATGTAGTTTTTTAGGCTCAATTATATTAACTAACTAACAAAATTTCCTTAATTTTTAAAGTAGAATTTTCTCTCGTCAGTGAAGTTACCCATTCGCAGTCAGTTAGTTGTTCAAAATTGTCAAACACTGGGAGAAACCACAACTGAACACGAATTGAAAGTCGCCACGTTTGAGGGTCGCAATATTTTTAAACAGAGGATATGAAATCTCTTTCCTTCCTTTTTCTTTTGCCTTAAAACTAAGTGTAGTTTTACGAGTTGTTTGAGTTACTTGGGAGGAAATAACATAGAAAGATAACTTTGACAGCCAGAAAGCTGTCCGCTTTATTTACACAAATAAAATCTCATTTACAAAACTCGTGTAGATTCGCATTATCTAGCTCGCACGAATGATGTTTTTTATGAGCCATCAGATAAGCCCGATTCAGTCGAGACCAGCTCAAACTGAATCGCTTTACGCAGTTGATACGTTAAATATTCTGTATAAAACCAAGGCACACTAACGCGGTGTTTAAAATTAGGAATAAAAGTAAATGAATTGTCAGTAACAATCAGCAGGACCGAAGGGGCTACTTCCCCTTCTTTTACGTATCATTACAGAAACAAATCCGATCTGGCCTCGCCTGGAATAGTTCAAACAAGTAACGACAAAATAAAATAACAATCTCTTTAATCTTAATATGTACACTTTGGTAGTTAAACTCTAACGCACCATCACAGGTATTTTTAAATGGGTAAGGACTCAAGTAACACTACAATCTAAATGTGCGGAAAGAAGCTTTTCGAATCAAAAGAAAAAAATAAGTCTTACAAAAATATAATGCTCACTCTACAAAGGGTCTCCTGCCGTTAGAAAGGTAAAAAAAAAGCTTCGAGTCTTCTATAAAGGATAGAAACTTAATTGAAAAAGCGTAGAGTCTGTTTCTCAATGAAGATACTAGATTTTACCATCTATCAACAACTACTTCGCCAACTGAAACACAAAATATATTTAAGAATAAAGAAAACCGTCCCAATATTGCAGTTAGAGCAAATAGAGAGGAGAGAGTTTTGGTTAGTAAACAGAAGTTATTAAAGTAAAAATGGGATGGGTTTTCTGCAATCCTGGGATCTCAAGGGGCACTCCAACACAATAGCTCATTCCGTCCTTTCAGAGGAGCCATTTCACAGTCGATGTACCTTCTGTGGTACTGTGAAAATAAAAAATACATATAAAAAACTGGTCAAAATTTTAATTTATTCAAAAATATTTTTGAACTTGTGTATGCCAATCATACTCACATGATGATCTGCTTCGTCTGTAGTTTTGTTCCTCACAAACTGATAGCGGGTTAGCAGTTAGCGCACAACATCTACCGGCATGTTTTTTACTTGCAAATGTTAAAGTTGTAACACTGCGTAGATTTATAATTGTTGAACCTAAGTACTGCCAACTATTAAAGGTAAAGGTGATTTTCGTATGCAGTTTAAGAGTATAAGCGTAGGATGTGAAATGCGAAAAATTAACCTTAAACTGATTTTTGGAGATTTCAATTTGATGGTACAAATATAGTTTTTTTTCCTATTACTTAGATTGTCTCGCCGCCGATATATATAGTTATAGTTAATAGCATTCCATAATATTCATTTTTCAAGTTAACGTTGGGATAAATCAACCTCACGCATGCCCAGATTCATTTTTATATTAATAATTGTGTATACATGAAAACCAGACCTCAAGATTCAATAAGCCGATAAATATTTTAAGCTCTACCTTTAATTTGCTTCTATTCAAGAAATACCCTGTAATAACAGTATTAAGTAGAGTTTTCTGTGCTGAATATTTCACCTTTTCATTTGAATGAATTGCAATTACGAATAACGAATTTTCTTTCGAGGGCATGCCTCAAATCCACGACTTTTGTTTCTTAAAACGGCAGCTCGTTATGGTCGAATATTGCTTATTTCTTTCTTTTTCATAAATAATTCAGATAAGATACTTTTACTGTTATTATGCAGAGGTTTGAAACTATAAATTTTCATAATTTTACGCAGATTATATTGCAAATACAGCTCTAATAAAATTATATAACTGTTAAAAGAAATGACGTTACATTATTAGTGACTTGTATTTCGACTACACTGTAAATCTTTTTTTTTTTCATGCCCCAAAATTAACAAACCAACAGAAATAATCAAAGGCAAAAAAGTGTCAGATGCAATTTCTTGATTCGCGTCCACATCATGTAAATCAATTTATGGATCGCATTCTTGAAGTGGCTTCAAGTCTGGTTTGGAGGCTGGCAATACATTTTCCACTCTAAACCATTGTCAGAACAATTACTAATCTGCATTTATTTCAGGAGTTAAATTTAACAAATTATGTTTTTTGTTTGTTACGATATCCACTAGTAAGACTATTTTTAGACACCTGGGGATGAACAGTTTCACCTACAACTTCACGAGAAAAATTGAAATATTTTCACTTCAGGTGATTGCCAAAGAATTGTTAGACGTTATACTAGCTAAAAAATTGAAAAGCTAAAAACTTAATGACTCTTATTTAACTATTTGCTTTATAAAATATTCAGTTTCTTTTGTGACATCTTCCAAATTCTAGAGCAAGGTATACAAAGGTGTTTCTTAGAACTATACATCCAAAAGTCAGTTTCGATCTTCAGATGTTTCACAGGCTTACAGACCGCACTGCGTCGAGGTTCTACCAATTTCAAATATCAGATATATTATTCTATAAAATACAATCCAAAAATTTAATTCACAGAAAAAAATGTACTTACTAAACGACTTTTGAAAACTTTATTTAGGCTGTAATTTAAGCTAACATTGCCCAATACAATCAATATTTACATTATATATTTTATCTTTGTACTAGTTACAAAATTAAAACGAAACGTTTCTGTGAAACTGCAGCATTCAGCCCATGTCGCTGGCTCTCGTATTTTAGACTAGAGGTATTCACATTTTTAAATTGGAAATAAATACATCCATCAACACCAGCAACAACATCAGAATCTAGATCCCAAACCTGGACAGATATGTTAAACTGAGGACATAAATATAAAACTTAAAACTGTCTGTGCTTGACATGTTCTGCGAGGAAATTTTTCAAAAGGCCTGTTTTAATTAATTTTTTTCCGACTTTTGGAACCGCAAAAGACAATCAAATTTTCCAAATTTGTCAAATCACAAAATATTCGAAAATGTTTAAAAGTGAATGAAAAAACTCGTAGTTCCAAACTACTTTATGATATTCATCACATAACACAAAAAAGGGGAGGTTTAAAAGGCATTTCTCTCACTTATAAGTACATTCTAAGATAAATGCGTATTTATTTTTTATTATATATTATTTCGAAGTAGATAGCTACAATATTTACAAAAAGTCACCACGAAGTGTTATTTCAAAAATGTAGACCAGCTACTGTTTGATGCAGTATATTATTATCAAAATTTTAAATAACTGCTACAGGAACACCAACTTATATGAATAACCAGTGAATTAAAAAGTGGTAGTACATTTAAATCGAGTCGATTTCCTATGTGATTAATTATAAGTTACGCAGCAGCATGCCATACGATGACCTAAATTTAATATGTTGACGTAACCTATAGAATACTTTTACGTTTAAATTTTATACATCATAAAAAATACTCTAAAAAAATTAACCATCACTTGTATCCAACTTTATAAAGTTAAAAAAAAAGTAAAATATATTGGCACACATAAAAAAAAGTGCAATGCCAATCACTGTCTCATACAATAGTTTACAGATAGGGTAATTCACATAGACCTGGCCTGGGCATAGCTAACACCTTATTTTTAGGAAATATTCTATGGTATCGTAAATTTGAGTTAAATTTTAGATCTGGCTATTTAATTCGAATATTCAAATTCAAAGAAACGTTTTTGGGAGGGAGTTGTATTTCAATATATGGTCTCATTGATTAAAAATTTCACCCTCGTCCAAAATATTAGACAAAAGATAATTAATAAATGCCACTTTTCACTTTTCTTTATGAATAATAATGAGTTAAGGGCATTTAATGTCAAACAATATTTTCAATTTTGATGTGAATTTACTTTAACAACTAAAACAATTTTGCTCAACCATTGCTATAGATAATATCCTAGAAGAAAAAATAATTTGTATTTAATAGATAAAAATCTGAGTTAATCCTTAATTTTGGTCAGTATTATAGTTATGCTACTGATATATCAAATATCAACTCCGTTCTTCTTCTAGAATTGCACAAATTCTTAAAAAATGTATATTGTTAATTTGTCTTTAAATAAGTAAAAAGAAACATCTGGCAAAAATGATTTAGAAATTTAATGTAATGACCAAAAAACATCTTTTTGCTCCTCTTTCTCCCTCCAATGACCACAAAAATCTTTAAAGTTGGTGAACCACTAAATCTATTTTTATTGAAGTTCCTGTTGCATAAAAGGTTGTTTTTTTTTTAATGGAAGAAAAATTAACCAAAAAAAAGGCACCAAATTTGTGAACTTTTAACAATAGTGGTCATTAGTGAGAATTACCCTGCACATATACCAAGAAATTCTAGGTGTTGGTTGAAAATATACACTATTGAGTTTTACTTTATGGACGAAAATTTGACTTTGTAAACAGTCGGATGTTGTGTTGATTTTCAAAATATTCGTTGCACAAAAAAAGAAACAAATTACAAAAACTCAGTCTTTGCCGATTTTTTATTAAGTATTTCCAACCATGTACTTGGTTTTCCATAATTTATAACTAAAATCACAACACCTGAGAAAACAATCACGCAAACACACGGGAACTTGCCTGTACACTGCTCACTTTTGTCTGCTGTAAATAGCATATCCATGACAAACTATTCAATGTAAAAAATTCTACTTACAAATATTTAAATACATTTATAATATTGTCCGATTCAAAAGAAGGAATGAATAATTTGTCATTTGTACTAAAATTAAATTAGTATAACAACACTATATAATATATGTTAGAGTGTAAATCGGGCAAAAACGTTCTTTAAATACTAAATCTCACTGCCTGCAATGTTACAAAAGAAACCATCCAAACCATAATAAATAATTCCCAATTTAGTTAACAGGTCATATGTGATAGCCGAGTTTCATTTAATACAAGTTTCCCATTAGTTTCAAACTACCCAAAATATTTAATTTATCAGAAGAAAACGAATGTGTGACGAAAGGCACTTACAAAAAACCTTATCTTGGTCCTTTACATTGGCAAAACTCTCTCAAAATGAGCACCCGTTTACACACTAAACAACTATCCTCGTCGACGGAGGAAGTCTGAAATTCATTTAGATTGGGCCCCAGAGTATCAAGCCAAAAAATACAGCCCACATTAGCACAATCCAATGCACAGTGTAAATCGGATTCTCACCGTCTGTAATTTTTCTTGCAACAAACTTTAGTGTCTCATCGAGCAAGACTACTGGAATAGAAAACTTCAATACCGTTATCCATTCTTCAACTGTCAATGGACACACTTGGAATACCACCTAAATTAGCAAAATTTAATATTATATTTAAATTTTACTGCACATAGGATACTTACAGAAAGTACGTCTACATACAAGATAACAAAGTGGAGGGTGAAAGATAAAGCCATTGAGCCAATCAGCCACATATTACACCATGGGGGCATCGCAATGAGAGATTGATTCTCTGATAAGCTAAAAATATATTTTTTTAAATCAACTAAACTAAATGACCAACCAATCAACCAACCTATTCATAGCATTTAACATTTCAATTGTAACTAAAACAGATAAAGCCATTGTCATTGGATGAGGATCATTGAAAACTTTGCAGTCAATTCCTTTGAATTCTGTAGCAGCCCCAGTACATTGTAAATGATGCGTCTGAAATATTATGAATTATCCGTAACTTTAGTCAAAAGTAACGTTGGCCAAACACAAATTACCAATTGATAATAGCTTAACTGAGGTCCTTCTGGGGAAAACATAAACCACCAAGCAGCTGCGCCTACAGTGGCAGCGCCTACATAACCACCAATAGCTAAGTATCTAAAGAACAGCCATCCAGAAATCAAAGATTCGTCTGCTTTACGTGGCGGCTTGTCCATAATATCTAGATCTGGTGGATTGAAACCTAGAGCAGTAGCTGGCAAGCCGTCAGTTACCAAGTTGACCCACAACAGTTGTACCGGAATAAGAGCCTCTGGCAGTCCCAGAGCGGCGGTCAAAAAGATAGATACCACTTCACCAATATTGGATGAAATCAAATAACGAATGAATTGTTTCATATTATTATAGATCGCACGACCTTCTTCGACGGCGGCCACAATTGATGAAAAGTTGTCATCAGCTAATACCATCTCAGCAGCCGACTTGGCTACAGCAGTACCTGAACCCATAGCAATACCGATTTCAGCTTTCTTTAAAGCGGGAGCATCATTAACACCATCACCAGTCTGAAAATAATTGCAGTCATTACCATTTTGAATAACTGCAAATGATCAAACTCACCATTGCAGAAATTTCGTTCATACTTTGAAGGTATTCAACAATCTTCGATTTGTGCGCAGGTTCTACACGCGAAAACAGGCGAGCACGGGCACAAGCAGCTTTTTGTTCTCCAGGAGAGAGATCATCAAACTCTCGCCCAGAATATGACTTGCCAGTTGTATCTTCATCTTCAGTGAACACCCCAATACGTCTGCAGATAGCTTCGGCAGTAGCCTTGTTGTCGCCTGTGATGACAATGACTCTAATACCAGCAGCACGGCACCTTACAATTGAATCAAAGACTTCTTTTCTTGGGGGATCTAACATGCCGACAACGCCAACAAATGTAAGGTTAACTTCATAAGTATAGAATTTTGTAGAATCCCCAAGGTCCATTTCTTCGGGTTTCATGGGATTATCAGCGGTCGCAAGCGCAAGACAACGAAGGGTATCTCTACCGGTACCGTATGACCTGGTAACTTCAAGAATGCGGTTTTTCAGGCTACTTGTAAGAGGTAATTTTTGTGAGCCCACTCGAACGTGTGTGCACCTTTCCAGTACTCCTTCGGGGGCACCCTTGACGAATAATTTCGGTCCATTGCCCAGTTTAGATGGTTTAAGTGGTACGCAGTAAGAAGACATGGATTTGCGATCACGGGAGAATTCAAGTGTAAATTCTTTTTTCCATTTAGTTTCAATGTCTTGCCTCACGCATATGGCTGCTTGACGCCTGTCTCCGACTTTTTGCACATTGAAAGGATTCATTTTTTCGGCCAAAACAATCAAAGCCGTTTCAGTGGCTTCTCCCACCTTTTCGAAACATTGCTTAAATTCATTGAAATCGATAGCGGAATCGTTGCACATTACACACACTGTTCCCAATTCCTGAAGCCCTTCGAATTCTGAGCATTTTACTTTTTGGCCTTTAAGGAAAACCTCACCAATCGGTTCGTAAGTTGAACCGGTGACCTCAAACTCGTTAAGGGTACTTTCATTGCCTTCAACCTTTTCGAAAATGAAAATGCGAGACACCGACATTTGATTGGTCGTCAATGTGCCGGTTTTATCTGAGCAAATAACGGAAGTGCAACCCAGCGTTTCCACAGATGGTAATGACCTTACGATAGCATTCTTTTTTGCCATACGGCGAGTACCTAAAGCCAAACAAGTTGTAATTACGGCTGGCAAACCCTCGGGAATAGCGGCGACAGCTAGAGCGACGGCAATTTTGAAATAGTAAACAGCCCCCTTGATCCACGATCCACCGTGGGCGGGATCGTTAAAATGACCGATATTAATAGCCCATACGGCAACACAAATCACTGATATCACTTTGGACAACTGCTCGCCGAATTCATCAAGTTTCTGTTGGAGTGGCGTCTTGATCTCTTCAGTTTCCGACATCTCTGTCCTGATTTTACCGATAGCAGTACTGAGGCCGGTCCCGATAACAATACCGCGGGCTTTGCCAGCAGCTACATTGGTACCAGAGAATAAGATATTTTTCTTGTCTTGATTTACGGCACGCGGATCAGGGATGGCATCAGTGTGTTTGATAACAGACACGGATTCACCGGTTAAAATTGACTGATCGATGCGAAGAGTTGTCGAGTAGATTTTGGTGATTCGAATATCCGCAGGTATTTTGTCCCCTACCGATATCTCAACTATATCACCCGGTACGATATCTTTAGCTTTGATTTTCTGTACACCTGGTTTGTCCGATCGAACAACTTTGCCCATTTCCGGCTCATATTCTTTGAGTGCCTCAATAGCAGACTCCGCATTTCGCTCCTGTACAAATACAACGTCACGAAAGAAATCACTAAATCGTTAATGCCTCACCTGCCACACTCCGACAACTGCATTTGCAATAAGAATAAGTAAAATTACAAAGGGCTCTACGAATGCAGTGAATGCTCCGTCGTGTTCTTCAAATAAAGCTAATACCTGAAAAATGAATAACCGTTGAGATTGAGAAGACGAAGAAGTAAACTTTAACTTTTGGAAACAATAAAGGCAGCAAAAGTTTTCCTTATTACGTTTCATTCCCTTTAAGTGAACCAAAAATAAACCTACTGTGAACAGAAATTGGATAAAGTGGATTTTACTCTAAAGCATTTTCTAAAAAATGTCGTTCTTTGATATTACAGCGCCATTGATATTGAAAAATAATTAAGCATTTCTAAGTTTACCGTCTTAATCCGGTACATTTAAAAGTAAACACTTATTCGTCGCTATCTAGACAATAAAAAGTAAACATAATATTACCTTCACTGTTGGTTATCCGGAATAAAATTGCCCAATAATGATGCTTTTAACAATTTGCATGCAATGGTTTCCTTTCCACATATTATGGTTTCACAATATTGTTTGTTTTAGCAAAACAAATAAGAAATCAATAAGATCTAATTTAAAAATAAATAGTTTGAGCGGATTTGCAGAATACAAAACTAAAATCCATGTTAAATTAAAAATCCCGGAAAAGTAATAGAGACAGACGATCAGTACGTATTTAATTTTAACTGCCTTGTAATGATAAACATCCGGCATAACATTCGAAATTGAGAAAAAAAAATGAAACGATAAGAAAAAATCGTATGCATTTTGAGGTTGAAAAATGTAACTTTCTTTTAATACTATAGCTATAGGGTTTACCTAATATGTTGTTTAGAAAATTTCAAAATCCGATTAGTGCTTGAGATATAAAAACATTCAAATTTTAGGAAATTGTCAAATTTGACAGTTCTTCTAAACATTGCTTTAATACTTTTTCCGGTCCAGTCAAGATAAAAATACATCTACGCCACAATTAGTACAAAGTTCCGAATGTCTCCCTTATCAAGTCAGGTCATATAAACTGAATTTGTTACTCACTCAAATTCATTTTTATAATTTATTTTGGTCATTTTATATTTGTTACGCTGATATTCTGCATGGGACTATCTTATTTCAATATACGCTATGCTTTAAAAAGAATCAAGAAAATGAGATTAAATAGCAGTAGCAGAGTTATTAGTACTTCATATGACACAAAACTCGCGTTATTTGGACAAAATTATTGACGTAATAAATGGCTTTCCCAAAAATTCAATTCGAAAACTTTTCAAATAAAACCGGAAGTTAATAGGAGGAAATCACCAAGGTAGAAACAATATTAAGCCTTTCCAAATAAACAAAACGAATAGATACCTGATAATAGAATTTGATCTTCCAAAAAAGAGAATGAGCAAATAAATAAAAAGTAAACACTAGCTGGATTACAAAAATGTTGCTACTATTAGAACAAAAAAAGAAACAAAAAAATTTCAAAAATTTGTATAGTCGATATTGTCGATAAAGAAATGGTTAAAACATATTTTAAATTATCAACTGCCTATTGTGGTCTGAGGCAAAAGAAAGTGATTTAAGAAAATCCTTATCAGTATTTTAAAAAGTTTTATAGTTAGTCACTCATAGTCCCAAATTACATCCATAAAAGGTAATACATCTATTTAATTTAATTTGTACAAAAGACAAACGCAAAAGTAAAAAATCGGAGAGTGCTAAAAAAAGAAAATTACCGCACGGAACGTTTATAATACAAGAAACGCATCATGCCCCAAAAATATCAAAATCGTTTTAAAACACTGATTCCCGTTCAAAGTACTGTTTATTGTTGAATAATAATTTATGTAAAAATGAAACCATTGTTTACAGTAACGATGTTCAGCGGTAGTGAACAAATATACAACTTCCAATCAACGTCCAGGTGCAAATCAATGGAAAAAGATAACGTTTCGAGGGCAATAACTTTACAAAAAAACAACTAAGTTCAATTATCACCAAAAACCAATTAAAAACAGAAACATGTACGGTATGCACTTAAGTATTACACACTTTAACATGGCGATCAAAATCTCCAAATTTGTCTTTAGAACTAATACTTACGAATGAAATAATTGCAGCTAATAACAAAATCTTGACTAGAAGATCATCGAACTGTTCTAAAACTAATTGCCATATCGACTTTCCTGAAAACAGAGTCACATAAAACCAAGAACAAAACACAACATATAGATTGCGAAAAGTGGCAAGTGTGAGCTAAAATGTACGTTGACTATTTCCAAATCAAACTTTAGATAAATTAACAGATTTCAAGAATTGTTTCTCTTTAGTTCCTATCTAGGAACACTGTTGCTATTAGATCTCCTTTGGCATACGGCTTTAAAAAGGGATAAATGATATATTAATAGACAGACAGGGCTGTAGGCACCCATAATGCGAAAACACTGCGACTGTTAAAAAAATTTGGAAATTGAAAGCAAAAAAAATCACTAACCTCTTTAAATTCATCATTAAAAAGCAAGGGCATTTTCCCGAGCAGACACAACGAGCTCTTCAATTTTTCGAAGCAAACACATACGGGAGGCACCTCTGTGAATGATACTCCTCAACAGGGTGATAGTTCAAAGGACTTTTTTACGTTTTTAAAATGATTTTATTAGAAAGGGTCTCGAAAGTTGGCAGTGCATCAAAGTTACACTTTGTAAATGGAACAATCGACTTTTCTTCTCGCCACAATTATTCTGATTTAAGATTTAACTTAAACTGACAGATAGGCGGTGAATATAAAACGCACAAAATTACCATTGCCGCATTGTAAATTTATAGCATTGGAAATTTATATTCGTTGACATAAAAATAATAAAAACTAAAATGCACTAAGATCAGTGCAAAATGGGGTTGACTAGAATCAGTTTCATCATTCATTTACAAAAATTTTGTAACTTATGTAACATATATATGTAACATTTTATAGCATTGCTCTGGTGAATTATAAACAGATTCAGACTTCAATAGACTTGTTTCTAAATTAAATTGTTAGTATTAGTTTCTTCCTTTCTGTCTTATTAGCCATTTGTTGACATATTTTTTTTATAGCGTTAAACATGTACAGTTGATTTACTGAAATACCTTTTTTTAACACATTTAGTTAGTAGGTTAAACCGGAAGTGATGTACGATATTCGAAATTTACGTCAAATTCTCGTTTAAATGATATGTAACCTGTTAACATTTCAAGAATACCCGGCAAATGACAAATTGGCCATTCCATTAACAAATACCAAATAATATTATAAAATTTCTTTATAGAAGTTTACACGTTCTATACCATAGAAAAGGTAATTTCGTCGCGAAATAAAAAAAAAGTAAAAACGTAACAAACAACTAAAGTAGATCCGCCAAGTTATTAAATAATGGTGGGACATAATCGGTGGTAACTGGTCGTTTTATTGTTTTCATGTCCAATTAGACATAGCAATTCAATATGCAACAAGTTTCATAAAAGCCACTTCAGTCACGAGTTTCATTGGTCCATGACTAAAATCTACCGAAAACATTCGATCGCTCCCAAACTCGTGACTAAAATACTGGAAACATCCGAACTGGTTCTCGACGGTGGCTTTATTGGAATTGGAATTACTCGGAAATTGATGACCGACCAAGAATTATCAAAACACTGCATCTTTGACAGCAATGTTAACTAACATGTTATACATCATTTTAACGAGAATTTGAACATTGAAGGTATATTGAAACAGAAATGGGGATTTCTATTTAACATTTTGGCGATGACGTCACTTCTGATTAAATCAGGAACAGTTTCAAAAAAATAAAAATGTTAAAAAATTGAATTTTATGCACTCCTAAAAAATCAGATCGACATGTTTGAAGCTGTAGTATAAAGGGGGGGTCCTGCGTCACCCGGTACATATTATTTTAAATTAAAGAGTTACCAGTATAGCAAAATGTAAACGAATTCTTAAAAAGAAATTGCTCGTTTCATTAGCAGTCCCATTAGCTCCCAACTTTACGGTCCATTTTAAATATTTCAAAACGACACTTTTACGTTATCGTTGTAGGCGTTATTGGTAAAATCTTATTGCATTGTCTCTTCCGTCGTATAAGACTTTACATAAAGGGCAATTGACCTTTTGTCTAACGACGCCTTCGCCAACTACAATCGTATTGCTAGATAAACAGCTCTGCGACGAGTGAAAGGCAAAAAGCTCCATCGTGCCGAGCTTTCGAATCGGTCGCATCAGCTTTCACCCGCAGCACATCCGTCCTTTTGCGATCTAAAATTAAACGGATCCGCATAAGGGAGAAAATCATTCCACCTGAGATAATACGATCGAAATGGGTAACATGTCGGCGTCGTTGGTTGTTACGTTCCAGAACAGATTTAGATTAGTTACGTTAAATGGAGAGAAAACGTTTAAGTGCACCAGTTTAAATCAACCCCAGTTCTTGGCCATTTTTCTACTTACAGGCAAAATAAGAATACCTTCTATAATGTAAAAAAATAGATAATCGTTCACAAAACTTATAACGGGTTTAAAAAAAGACTTTTTGCACACAAAAGTCAGGTTGGTGAACGAGCTGCTGGCGATTGCTCCCAGTCGCACGAGTATGCGGAGACTCAATTTGAAATGTGTTGCATACGATTCTTTTTTCTGCAACTGCAGGAAATAAAACTTAAAATGTGATTATGTCATAATTTAACAATTTTCCATACATATTGTCATTGTAATATAACAAATACGAATTCAGTTTTTTTAAGGTCTTGTTTGGAGCGTTTTCTTTTGGACAGTTTACATATCAGTTTAAGAAAAAGTTTTTTTTTTAGAGCTATTTTCCTAAAAATCTAGACGATTTGTTGAATTAACATTCGTGTTCACTTAGATTCGATTTATGAATTTTAGTGGGGCCCCAAAAATAACCAAAGCTTTTCATATTCAGCATAAAAAGCGTCTACGAGAGATACCGGACATAAAATAAACAATTCATATTTCGCCCAACTGCAATTTTTGTGTTAGAGATAATACTCTAATTTCCTAATATATCGTTTCTGCTATTTTGTTCGGGTACAAACATAGTAATGAAGATAATCCAATCAGGACATAAAATCACCTAAATGTCGATTATTTTTAGAGACACATACTGCATCGTATTACCGCTTTCGATTGCTAAGAAAAAATAAAGGTAATTTATAAAACGTATAAAATAAATAGCCTATACTACATCTGTTGCAATAAATATATTTCATACAGTTATATAATATATAGTTCTAACTACCTTGAGGATAAAAACAAAAATAATATATTATTTTTTTTTACAAAACTTCTGGATTCCTCCTGCGTCCGCTTTTGCTGAGTCGAACTTGCTGACGTTTCGCCAATCATCCTGTTTGCTTCTTCAATGCATGACTGAAACTGGCTCGTATTTTATCACTTAGCTCCGCCCCCTCTCAAATATAAGCGGGTACAGACTAAAACACGAGGCAGTTTCAGTCAAGCTCTGAAGAAGGCAACAGGATGATTGGCGAAACGTCAGCAAGTTCGACTCAGCAAAAACCGACGCATGAGGAATCCAGAAGTTTTGTAAAAAGTATTACAACTAGCCTGTGTCAATAGTATAGAATTTTGGCATCCATTATCTAAACTTTAAAAAAAATGAGATACCACTTAATGTATTTCGAAAACTCGATAGTACAAGATATCGTTGAGAATAGACAGGTTGTTCCGTTTAAGTTTAAGTGAGACATTTATGGGGAATCCAGTTAAAAAATAAAAAATAGATAGTGACACATTTAATTTTAGCTTAAGTCCATCGAAAACCGCTCGCACTATTTTTTCTCGTTTTATAAATAGTCATTTTCCTAAATAAAGCAACAATTATTTGCATTGTTTACGACCAAGAATTCGCTGGTCTCAACTAAATTGTAAATAAGCGCCTTTAACAATGCAAGAAAATTATTGACCTTTGTGAGTGATGTGTCGATTCGGATGCAAAAATATACGTATTTTTACGAGTAATTTTACGTCCGTATTATATGCGGTTTGACTTCGCGCAACGATGACGCGACTGCTGATTGAATATTTTGCCATTTGCGCGATTACAATAATCATTGGCAAGAAGTGATAAACGTTAAACAAACCGAGGCGCATTGTCAGAGAGAACAAGGTTAAACCGAAATCCAAATAAGGCTGCAAATATGTATCTATGAAACGTAAATTCCGCGCGATCGTTATAAAGATATAATGTGGCAAATTTAAAATTGAAACACGATCTAAGCATTGTGCGTTTTATTATTGTCTGCTAACCAGGAAAGAAATAACATTTAACACAACTTTCTGAACTGGAAATTAACATTTCCCAAATAGCTTGAGAAAGCAAGCAAATGCAGCAAAATTTTATCAAAATTGTCAGTTTAGGAAAAAAATTGAAAAAGTTCAGCTTGAATTTTAGGAAAAATTCACTGGTTCTAATGAATGTTACCTGCAACCGTTTGGGTGCTAGAGGGCGCTGCTAAAATTTCTGAAATTTAAACAATTCTGAGTAACTTAATTTTAAAAAATAGGTGAAATTTGAAAAAATAATCAACTGTTTATGACGAATATGAAATTAATTAATATAAAAAATCTTTAAAAAACCATTTTAAAACAGAATGAATTTGCATAAGAATTTAAAAAGCCTTATACAACAATTGGTTTTGATTAGACTAGCCAACGAACACTGTCTTAAACCTTAAACAAATTTGTATTTCTTCAAAAACACTGACAGATCGAAGAGGGAACCTAATATTAGACGTTTCTGCTGTAAGTCAAGTGAAATAAAACTCTCAAATAGCAAGAAGCAATGAATGACGTTTTGTAGTTATTGAATTGTTTTTTTTTTGTCATCATGGCTAACTAATAGTTGAACATAAAAACATAAAAACTATAACTTTCTAAAATAGGCAACCCAACAAAAAATCACTTTAGGGAATTCCAATTTGAAAGAAATGACCAAAGATTTGTTCGTTTGAACTGATAGTTTTTAATCATTTATATATTATAAAAATGTCCACAAGGAAAGTAACCTCGAATAAATAACATCGGCTGTCAGTGGGAGAAATCAATAGTTATTATATTTAGATCTGCAAACACATTTGAGATAAAATTCCAAATCTGGGCCACACTCTAACAATAAAGATATACATTTTTTTTCTTCACTGTTATCGCATTACGATTTCATAATAAATTTTGGGTAGCATATCTCCATTTAGATATTTCCATTTTTTTCAACTTTTGAAGTCACAGACTGATTTCAAGTGCATTTTTAAATACCTAGCAAATAATAAACGCTCTTATAATGAATAAATATTTCAAAATTTCAGCAACGCGCTCTCAAGGATCTGAAGTTTTATCTGGTCAATTTAAATTTCGTGGGATAAACGGAACCAAATTCTAATAATCGCCCACCGTTGGCGGCCTTAAAGAAACGATTTGCTGAAATCTGTGACGCCTCGATCAACGTAATTCGCAAAATTCCTCGGCAAATTCTCCCGCCACTTTCAGAAACTTCACCGTAATGGAATGAAAATTGATTTACATTTTCGATAAAACTAATTCACTTCGCGTTACCGATTTAACCAGTAACTGAACAGACCAAGTAATAGACTCGCAAATTTCTAAAAAATCCCACAGATCCATTACGCTTGATTTTACCGATTTCCAACTGACGAAATAGCAAAACTCTTCATTGACTGGAATATTGCAAAACGAGATAAACACTGCGTCAAATGTAAGCAAAGAGAAAGCAACGACTTTGAAAAATATTATTATAAATATTGCTTTGATCCCGAATAAACATCTCGACTTTAACCTCTGCTAATAGGATACACTCCTACAAAACAAAGGTAGGTAACAAATTATCAACAATTCGTTTGAGAATTGGGTTTTAAGTGAGGCAGATGTTTAACTTTATCTAAATAAAATGTTGAATCGGTTACTATAAACAAAGATATTCCTTTCGAATATAAAAAAAAATAATGTGAAATGTTCGACACAAAAATTTTGTGGACTCGAAATTTGCACTATGAAAACAATAAAAAATCGGTATGGACATACACGCACCGCATTAACGAATATAAAAAATCGTACACTGAGAATACTGATCGCCTAGTTGAAAATGTGTATCACTATTTTTAAAATTATTTTATTTCAAAATTTACACTTTGCCTATGCCAATTTTCATTCCAGGTATACCGGAAATAACTATTTTTTCAACTACTTCTTTTTGGCTGAAGTTAAAAAAAATACAATTTTAAACTTCAAAACAAGGCAACAAACGCCCTAGTGACAAATTTCATAAAAATATTTTAATTATGATACAAGTTTTATTTATGCCAATCAACCAATTAGTAGCATGTAGTAAAAGTACAAGATGGATGAATTATGAAGTATTTCGAACTGCTGTTGGAGTCCGGAATTAAAATTTGCGAATTATTATGAGGGATTAATTTCCTGCGACATAAATTGCAATAGTTAGATATACCATTTGTTGACAAAAAAAAAGGTTCTTGGAGAATTCCCCATTCAACACTTTTTTTTAATCCGAAAACTAAAACTAAATAAATATTTATTCAATGTAGAAGTGAAGTTGAAATAAATATTTGGAAATCGCACGAGGTTCCTGTTAAATTAAATAAAGTATTTTGATAGCAGATAAGTTGTCAACGTCCATAAAATTTAACTCATAATTTCCACTTACGTTTGCAGCTTTTCGAATTCAACTACTCACCTTCCTCTGCAGGAAGTTCTGAAACAAACAAAAAACATTAAAATGAATAAGGCCACGTCAAATAATAACAATTCTACCAGAACTTCAGCACCATATTTTTAATTTTACGACGTTTTAACTATTACTTTAACTTTCAATGGATTTTTGATTCATCAGATAATGTTCAGTGCGTTTACACCTTGTTAAAAAACTTTATTTCAATATGCTAATAATACGCAGTGCTTTATATTTACATTCCATTATATTTATAATACCCTGCCCAATACTACAAAAATTCGAAAAAATCATATTTCTGCCAATTGTTATAATGAGTGTTTTTTTTTTCGATGTATAGAACTTTAAGTTGGCATTACTGTTCAAGATGGCGACCGATTTAGCAGCTGTCAAGTGATTTATTCTCAGTTTGGTTTGGCAATTCATCATGAATAGACTCACGCCTGAACAACGCTTGCAAATAGTGCAATTTTATTTCGAAAATAATGGTTCTGGGCGGAATACCTATCACGCACTACGTCCATTTTATCGTGGACAAAATCGTCCATCAGAGCAGTTAATTCGATTAACCATGGAACGTTTTCGCACCACGTTTACTCTTATTGATAACTCGCATCCCCAGAGACGCCGTACGGTGCGTACAGAAGAAGCTATTGCTGCTGTAGAGCGTAGCATTGAGGAAGACCCCAATGAGTCCATCCGCCGTTGAGCACAAGAATTGGATCTGTGTCCATCCACTTTATGGAAGATTTTGCGGAAGGATCTTGGTTTACGTGCTTACAAAATCCAACCCGTGCAAGAATTGAAGCCAAACGATCATCAAGTAAGGCGTAGATTCGTCGAATGGGCCCAAAATGAGATGACCGTTGTTCCCGATTTTCATAAGCGAATTTTGTTTAGCAATGAAGCGCACATCTGGTTGAATGGAGCGAAGCTAATCCTCAAGTGTATGTCGAAACACTGTTACATCCAGAAAAACTGACTGTTTTGTGCGCTTTATGGGCTGGTGGAATCACTGGTCCGTACTTCTTCAAAAACGATGATGGCCAGAACGTTACAGTCAATGGTGATCGGTATAGAGCTATGATTACTAACTCTTTCATTCCTGAATTGAATAACCATAATGTCCAGGAGATGTGGTTTCAACAAGACGGCGCAACATGTCACACAGCTCGTGCCACCATCGGTTTATTGAAAGACACGTTTGGTGACCGCCTAATTTCACGTTTTGGACCTGTGAATTGGCCTCCAAGATCTTGTGATTTAACACCGCTGGACTACTTTCTGTGGGGCTAATGTAAAGTCATTGATATATGCGGATAAGCTACAAATGCTTGACCATTTGGAAGACAACATTCGCCATGTTATTGCCGATATACGGCCATAAATGTTGGAAAAAGTCATCGCAAATTGGACGTCCAGATTGGACTACATCGGCCCCAGCCGTGGGGGTCATATGCCAGAAATCATATTTAAAATGTAATGCCACAAGATTATCTTTCGGATAAATAAAATTTATGTCAATCGAATAATCCATCGTTGTTTTATGGCAACTTAAAGTTCTATACATCGAAAAAAAACACCCCTTATAATGATAACAGCCTTCATACTAAATGCAAACAATGAAAAAAAATATATGTGTGGTTGGACGAAATTTGTATCAATGCAGGAGTTTACTTGTGCAACGGTAAAGTTGGTGTTACACTGAGGAGTACAAATCTTCACTTCTCTAAGGCCTCACTTGATCTCCTTTTATGTTGCACATACTCTATTAAGTTGGTCGACCATAAATTTTTAAAAACCAACAGTTTACAAATGACATATTTTGGGCACCGATATAGGATAGGAGATATCCAATAATATTTCATTCTCCATGAAAAAATTGCTCGAAATTTAATGCAGTAATAAATAATAAACGAACATATGAAGCCCGCTCTTGACACGTTGGGAATTCCACAAGGAAGCACCACTTATCCTATTTTGTTTGTAATTTAAATAACGATATGCTAACACTAGCAGAAAATTGTAAAATAAAAAATTATGCAAAAGATACAAGTTTCTTGTTAGCACTGATATAAATATTCTATAGGACACTGCCAGGAGCTTTAGGAAAAGAGTTGAACATTGGTTGAATATATAAAACAAATTGGTTGTAAATAGTAACAAAACAACATTAACAAATATAACATTATTCAAGACAAACAAGTTCAAAAAAAAACTTTCAACATCAATGGGTATGAGATAGAACTAAAAAATAAAAATAAATTCTTGAAGATGTTTCTGTTCAATATCTTGACTTGGGATTCAGACGTTAGTTATGTTGTGAGTAAATTAAATATGGTTGGTTATACTTTTCGGGTTTTAAAATAACTTCATAGACATCTAAACTAAAAAGATGCTGTCTGAATACTGCTTCCAGGTTTTGAAATTGTGTTGTCTACTGTCTGAGGGAAAGGTTTGAAGCGTTAACAGTTTATACAGGAGTGTGCGATATATTTTTTTTTAAAAATATGTCAATTATTAATCCCAGTTTAAATATTCAACAGTCTATGGTTACAAATTATTAGAAGTACAAATATCTTAAAGAAATAAACTTTTTAAATTCTAGTCACGATGTAACTTTACAAGATGGAAGAGTTTTATACCAAGATAAAAGAAAATGTAAATATTGTCATTTGTGACACTATTTATATATCTTAAATAAAGATTATTATGATTGTTGAAGAAAAGAACGAAGTCGGGCTAGCAACTATGCAAAGGCACATGCTTTATTATGACTTTTCCTCGCTTGTGCTCACTCTTTTCAGTTGAATTTCAATCAATTTTGCTAGCAATTGTGGAAAAATTTTACAAATTAAAAAAAAAACCGTTTGGCAAGACGCATTGTTACGATACAGACAGAGGCGGCTACTACGTGAATCGCCTCCAAACCAACACGAGTCAAGGCTGAAATCTTACACCGACCGTCATAAGCGTCGTCAGAGTAACGCTACTGTGACGTAACACAAATTTTACCACCTCCAGCATCGGAAGCTCACAGCGATTAATTAAATATAACTATTTGGTACATTTTAGCAGATAGCACGCTACCACGTCCTAGGACTCTTGGAAATAACGCTCAGCAATGTTTCGAGGAACGTTACAGAAATTACTGATAATTTCGAAAAACATTTTTTTAACGAATTTACTTTATGAAAAAACGTAAACCATAACTATAAATAAAGCACGGTAAGAATTTTCACGGACTGAAAAAGTATCCTTCGTTTCAGTATATTATAATTTCTAAATAATAATATCAGTAAGTCAGCTACAGTCACGGGCTCAACACTACAACCTACTACTCTAAAGTGCTACTATACTTTAGTTAAAATTTGAGAAACTCTATCGTTAAAATTTGGACATTGTTAACTCTTGTTATAATTCAAACTTTTGGTCATTTTAAATTTTGTAGTAAAATATTTAACGTTTAAAATACCAGCTTTTCAATCGTAAAACAATGCATACATGAATTCATACAGTCACCAAAAATTTTATGTGCAGGTGACCGAATATTTATCAATTCAAATTCTAATAGTCTTTAACAATGTAAACAAAAGGTATAGCCCATAAATCGATAGTAAATAAAACCCAAATTTTATGATCAATCTGTTCAATATTCGCAATTTATTGACAGTTTGTTCATTAAATTCACGCCTAAGTAAACAATACAATCTACGTCGAGTTCATTATTAGTTTTACGGGCAACATTGGAGCAATATCGGTTTTGAACACGTGAGGACATTTAAAGCAACAAATAAAATCCACGAGTCGAACCACCTGCCAAAAAAATGGCTACTTGTTTGTTTTTTCAACGAGTTTAAATGATGCGGATGCAAGAAAAATACATAAATCTTTAATGACATTTTGCTGGTGGTTTGCGACTGATTTAAACAAACATGTCCAACAGTTTTGCAACCAGCGATATACATAAATCAGATCGTGGCATGTATAATGGGCAATATCTACAAAAACACAAATAAAACACTATCACAGCGACCCGATTAATAAAAAACCATTTTAGAGAAACAAAATTACAAAAAATTCAGTTATCAGTCTTCAAAAAAAAAATCTTGTTATCGGGAAACTTCTATCAAAATCCATACGTGTTTCATTGTTACCAATTAATTAATGATACGCGAGATTTCAAAATACATCATCTTTTTGAAAAGCCAAAGAAACAATGCTTTAAACTAATCAATCCACGGGAGTTTGTTTTTAAGGGGAAGAAGAGACAGAAGAAACAAATCAAATCAACTTGAATAATTTGGACAGCAAAAAAATTATAGTTTTTCACAAGAAAATTTTATTAAAAAAGTTTTCCAGCAAATTTCTTTAAAAAAAAAAACATAATTTTAATATTATTACAGATTTATAATATATATTAATAATTAATTGATAATCATATATTAATTTGTCATGCAAAACACTATTGACTAGAGACAACAAGCTAACCAAAACTAATCAAGTTTACACCAAATTGAATGGAAAATTCAAAATTCAAAAATATTCAGTTGAAACCCTTATGAATATACCACTAGTAAAAATTGCATAAAATATTTTGAACCAAAAAATGACGTGTATAACCTGAACCAAACTATATAGAGGTATACAGATAATGCAGACTCTTTTTGCTTGCAGCATTTAACATGATCACTAACAGTGACAGTGGCAGTGTGACTGTGGAATTTTTTTCGGCAGTATTTTCCCCAAATGCGTCCAGATGCCATTAAATTTTCAGTTAAGTTAGTTACAAATTACTGTTCAAAGTGAAGGTCTGTGTGCATGTACTACGTCACAGTTTTTTATAATTATATATATATATATATATATATATATATATATATATATATATATATATATATATATATATATATATATATATATATATATATATATATATATATATATATATATATATATATATATATATATATATATATATATATATACATATATTTGGAAAAATTTACCCCTGCACTTACTACAATACCGAATCTGGCAGGGCGAAGTGGCTTTGCCTTTTTTGTTAAACTAGGTTTTAAAAGATTATAAAAAAAGGTGAAAAAATACATGTTTTTACATAAAACACGTAGTTTTGTCTATAGATTCAGTTACACCTAACGCCCCCGCAAAAATTGCAATTTCCCGCCTAAAAAAATAAGCAGGTGAAAATTTTCCAATTCTTACTATTAAAATTAATGTCAGTTAAAAAATAAAATAATCCCAATTTGATAAAATCAAGTTTAAGAAGGTATAAAACAAGAAAATATCAAAATTTTGACAGCACTATAGGCTTTGCTACAACGACTGAAGAAAGTGACAAATGAAGAATGAAAACCTTACTTTGGAATGCCCAGAAATACTAATAGATTGTCGAACTTTCATTGTCTTTAATTTCTGCTATCTTTATTTAATCTGCACTTGATAACAGTCCGAAACGTGTAACAAAGTTAAGACAAAGGAAGTTCGACAATCTCTTGGCATTTCTACTGATTCATTGTCTATCACCTTCAAACAAACATTGGATGCCCATTTTAAATTGTATATTTACTTGAAAAAACTACGCAAAAATTATTCAAATGGGATTCAAAAATACACCTAAAAATATTTCTGTCATTTTCATATATTTCTTAACTATTGGGCGCCTAGTTAGTAATTGTAACGTTAAGTTTATTTTTTGCTACTTAGCGGTTCTTCAGATAACATAGCTTTGTTCTAGACTGCAACATATACAACATATACTCTACTCTATCAAAAGATTTTGTCCTAATCGAAATAAAAGTTACTGCGGTAGAAGTAACCCGGTCACAACTTTCGTTACTTACCGCACCAATATCACGTTAAAAATATAGGGCGTCTGCGAATCGACTACAAATTGCAGACATGCCAGACATATATTGCATTTCTCAATACTGTGCTATGTTCTGCTTTAAATGCCTTGGGAAATATCTAGTAAACTCAGGAGAAGTTAAGGCAAAAAACTTGTTATATCCGGTTATATCGAACAACAAACTACTACAAAAAGTTTTGAAATAAATAGCCAATTTGAATGAAACCAGCATCAAATGCTTTCGCAAAACGCGAATAAGGTTATGACGACTTTTTCGGCTATACGAAATAGATCCGACTAACAAAGCATAAAATAGGTTCTGTTAATGACGCGGCTACAAACGTCAATGCATATTGTTTGATCATCATCTGGTGCATTAAACAAATTAACACGGTCTAAGTTAACTTCCTGTCCGTCCATCGCTAAATGTAATAATTAGTTTACGAGTTTCGGTTTATGGGTACACTAACGCATACTATGCAGCTATTATAGTACATAACACCGCGGTTAACCTTGCTTTAACATGTCCTTCGTAAACGGTGGGATATCAAATTCTTAAAAGGTATCCAGCGAGTGTTAACGTAACATTATAGAATTTTATTTTAACCCTTAAAATTGTAATCCGAATAAAAATCTATTTTAAAATTAAATGTTTAAATAGAGTTGGAAGTGTCCAGACACAATGAAAGTTTATTTTCATTTTTAGTGTTTTATTAAAAAAAATACATTGCAATGAAATGTGTTAGACAGGCTGTCTCTTCCAATATATTAGCAGTACAGTTTGGTTCGAACACTAATAACTAACATATTAATAATTAACACTTACAGTTCCATAAGCTGGAATGTAGTTACGCAGGTAATCATTAAATAAGAGGCTTATCGGGACTGAATAAAATTCCTAATCATGGCGTGGAGCGTTTTGTCAAAAACTAAACTAAACTAAATATTTTTAAGTAATATCAACAGCTTGAGTGTAACAAAAATACCCCAAGATTGCTACGGTATTGCTAAATCGAGTGCTACATCTTTGTAGTAGTAAAATAAAATAACATCCAACTCCTCGTCACAAACGATTGCAGGCAGCATTAGTGAACCCGAAAATCTTTAAGATGGTAAAAAGTCTCTAACTTTTTTTGATATTTTTTCTTTCTCTCTATCTCGCACTCTCTCTGTCACATTCGAGGTTTCGCTTGTGGGCGCATAATATTGGTAATAAATTTCTAATGTTAAAATTATTTTAAAGGACGCATGCAAGCTTAAACGTAAGTAAATAACTATGTAATTATTAATAATAAGTACTTAAATAATTCTTTAAGCGAAATTTAGATATTTAAAGAAGTTTGCTAATTTTGGTTGGTCTAACGTGTCAGTTTCATTTCCTACGGCTGCGAGTCACTTCGGACATTTCCGGGATATTACCACACGGATTTTGGGAGCAATGGGATGTTTTTGGAAATATCGCACGGCTTGAATTTTCACGTTTGTTAATTCTGTATTCGTGTTGGTTTGCAAAAATATACCCAAACACTAACAGTCGTAGAAAAAGTATGGTATGCAACACGTCTGCCGAACTCGTTAAGTAAATCGTTTATTAAACACTAGCTGCGTTGCGCTCTACTGGAGCCAAATAAACACGTTTTACCGCACTTGTTCCATAATATACTATTACCACACTTGTTGCATAATATACTATTTTTTACGACCTTCTCCTTGGGTACATTTTTGCAAAACCGCACGATTAGATTTACTGAGTAAAGTATGACCTGACAATCAAATCTGACAAACGTAATAGTAACTACGAATCTGACCAGTTTTAAGTAATAGTTTGCGCACGTCTGATGGGTGCATTAGTGAGTATTTTAAAGAAAGAAGTAAAAAAAAAATTTACAGATCAACTTCCATGAACAAGTGGAATAAGACATGAACTTTGAAAGAAAATGATCTAAGCTAAAGCCCAGATTTTCGACGCAAATAATTTTACGAGGCGCCGCCATCACCATTCAATAAAGACTAAAAGCAACCAAGCCTTCAAATAAAAACTTAATCTTTACGATAACCACTTAAACCAATAATTTATTAGTGGTCATTGCAGAGAGGTTATTAATTATAGATAATGAGCGTTCATTTATTTTTACGCAAGAATCTTCAATCGTACTAAACCCACGTTTGATGGAGTAAGGTTTAAGTGCTCCGCTAATTTTTAGTTCTATTTTTAGTTCTACATGCACAAAATGATATTCACAAAATTAACTTGAAAAATGCGTTTATTCTATAAATAATATTATTATTCAATGTTAAGAAAAGTGAAAAATCAAAAATGATAAATGTCTTGTTAGGTGAGAGTTCCATATTTTGTTGTTCTGTTGTACATTGAAGCGCATGTTTATTTTTATTGTCTTGTTTTAAAATGCCATGACCCTCAAAAGATCATCAACATAATTATCCAAATTAATTAACCTTGGTTATCAAAACCAATTGAAATAAAAATTAACATTTACGCTTGGGTCAAAAAGAAATTAATATGAACAAAAATCAAAATAACCGCTAGAAAAATGTTTACCCAATGCAGTTTCTTGCCAAAATATATTATACAGTATTAAACGGTAACAATTACTAGATAGTCCGTTTTAGAGAAAAAACTGCTCGCAGCAATTTGCCGATTAAAAAGTTAAAAAAAAAAGACTGTGAATTGTAATCAGCGTAGTGTTAATTTTAATATTAACCTGTATTTTTAAAATTTTTAATCGGCATCTGGTTACGTGAGAAATTTTTCTTTAAACGCCCGGTAGTTGTGGTTTATGACTCAAAAAGAGAGAGAAGGTCCCCTTCCCTAAATACAATTTTGTATAACAGCTACAAACACAAATACAAATGGATTAAGTTTAAATGACATATCTGAGAGTGATTCGAACGCGTGCCGAGACAAAAATTTTGAGATGCAGACATTAAAAACCTTTTGCAATTTCACATCCGAACGTTCTACTGACTGATTCGTAATTGGCACGTATTTAAAATAGGTTAAGTTCACGATTTGCGTCAACGGATGGTCGAGTTTTTTGAAGGTGTTCGCGTGGTTTTCGGCGCCATTGCATAAAATGATTTTAAATCTAAAATTAAATGTCCGAAAATAAAACGAAATTGAAATACATCTTTTAAACATGCATATTTAAAAATCTTGATTTTAAAATACATTTTTGAGAAGTTCAACAATCGAAAGAACGCAGGTTGGAAATTAAGAGAATTTTTAGGTGGATAACTCGCATTCGATATTAATTGATTAATTAATTAATTTCTAGTTTTAAGGGTAGTGTTTAATAATTCCTGCAGGAAGTGTGAAAAATTAATTATATACTAATGAACTATCTTGAGGAACACACTCAATTTTCCTAATTGCTGGGAAACAGGTCTTTTTCAAAATATTGGCTGGGTTCTATTAATGTAAATTTTGTTGAATTATTAAATAAAAATATGTACTCGCCTCGCCTCTAATCAAATTAAAAATGCATAACTAAATATTCCCAAAGAACACATGTAAATACATATTTTCTAATAGGTAGTCTCATCATTTAATCAAGCTAATTACTTCTATTACTTATTATTGGCTAAAATGCAGGTCGATATCAACTAAATCGTTTTTAAAATACAGAAGTGGTCAACAATACAAACATTTTTTTCAATTTTCTCTTTCATATTATTGACTGTGATTATTTAAAAGTTCAAGACAAAATTACACATGAGAGTAAATGTATTTAGAAATTGATACATATCTACATTTAGTATGTACAGAAGAATACACAAATCAATAACTACACTCACCATTAGGTCCATACTTTTCTTGATTTCGCTTAACTTGATCTGTGCTAAGCCCCCTTTCAGGATCAGTGTTAAAATATTTTAACACTTCATCGACAGTCCTAGTATGTGCATCCTCCATTGTGCTCCACGGTCACTTCTAAAACATTGGAAAATTTCTCAATAATCAATTGTTGCTCAAAGATGAGACTAGTAATACAACATAATAGAAGAAAAGGCGTTTGTCAAGACGAATTGAAAAGAATGGGCGAATTGTTCCTTCAAATTAAATACACGTGTCCTACAGTCAAAAAGCTACTCTTATTCTACGCGAGATCGCACAACTATAGGCAAATTAAAAGTCAATAACCTCAAAATCCGCAAAGCAAAAATACCAAACTCACCTGTTTTGTACTTACTACACGATCAGATTTCGCTAAGTAAATCGAAAATCTGACACAAATGACGAACAAAAATTAGAATTTGATCCTTTCCATTTTTTCAAAAGAATGTTGATATAACCATACTTTTTCAACGCGACTTCCTGATAACAAATTGAACACTAACATACAGTTTTGTAGATATAGAAACAACCGTAATAAATTTATTCAGTACGCGAATTCGCGAAACTTCGAGAAGAATATAATAACAATTAGTTTATTTTACAACGGACGAGACGATTGCTGACTTGTCAACGAAGTTCGCTCGGTTGCCGTTTGTGGTACAGATTGACGTTTACGCCAGCGCAGTGGAGGGAAACAAAATAATAGCACTGAAAAAATTATTTCCTACACCGATTAACAAATCAAATCATTTCAAAAACAAACACATTAAAACCCGAAGATAAGATAACGTGCGCCCCTTTACTTTATTTGCCTCGCACAATTCGCTATACCAGCTAAAGAAAAATAAAACTGATGACAACACACGAAATGAGCATGTGGATGATGGCGATAGGCTGGCCAAGGTCACGTGGGCAGGCGGCGGCAAATTCTTTTAAATAGCTGAATCGCGCTCGTCGGGATAATAAATTATTATTATAAGAAAAGCGAGGTATTTTAGAATGCGTCATTAACGGTCCAAAGTTGTTTTATTTTTGACCAAGCGACGAGGGGTCTCGAATATCCCGGTTTTGGGACAATTGCCAAACCGCCAGCGACGATTTTAGCACACGAACAGAAAATAACAGTTTTGGCAAAGAAGCGCAACAACCCAAGCGCGCTTTTAAAATAAAACCCGTTTTCAAAATTTGTTTGGTGGGTTATATAACACTAAAAATTATTCCTTTTTTTTTAATGTCACTAATTGTAATATTTGTTCGGTTTTACTAGATCCAAATAAACATTAGTAGAGGCAAAATACCTGACACACTTCGAGTGGTAATCCAAAAATCGAGAGATAAATAATCCTTATATCGTCACTGCACTGCACTTAGAAACTTACCGCTCTACGAATATCACAACCCGTAGTCTCAACAGGTGTGGGTACTTATTATCACAATAAATTGTACGTTTTTATAGCAGGTTTAAAGGGTTATAAAAAAATCACGAAGCGAATTAGGCCCCCATGGAGATAAATCGCAACTGATTCACTCGCTGGGTCTACTTACGAAACGGCCACAGGAGTTCGAATGCGGTTGCTTTTATAACTTCGGTAGCTACCTGTGCGTCCGTTGGCATCGTGCCAAACCGGGAATTGGACCGGGCTTTTCGAATTCTCGTGCGTCGTCGTTCCTTAAACCATTTTTGAAAGAAGAAAGTGCCATATTTAAAAATAAATTCAAAGAATAAATTATTGTCTTTATGCAAAATGAAATTAAAACAAAAAAGACTTTTTCCGCTGGAGATGCCGGGTATCGAACCCGGGGCCTTTCACATGCAAAGCGAACGCTCTACCACTGAGCTACATCCCCGCAATTAAAATTAAATTTGAAAATCGTAGTAACCCTGCTATTCCTTTTTACTCTGCATTGGATTGTGGGAATATGTTGATAAATCCCCAGACAAAAATCTAACCAAAAAAATAGCAATCTTAAAAAGGTTATGTTTACTATTATTAATATGAGCGAAGTAACACAATCAAATTTTGTAAAATTATTTCCGTTAATTAAAGAAACATTACAACAAGCAAGGTTTGTAAGCATAGATTTGGAATTTAGTGCTCTAAACCCTTTAAGAAATCATGCTCCAAGGTATGTAATTTAATTATAATTGGTAGTATAATTCGAGTATAGGTATGTATTTTTTTCTTTCAGCTTGTTTGATAGTCCAACTGATAGGTACTACAAACTGAAGAAAAATGTGGAATATGTAATTCCCCTTCAAATAGGAATTACTGCTTTTACATATGACTCAAAGAGAAATAGTTATTTGGGTACCATTTTTGATTTTTATGTTCAACCTGCCTCTTTTCAGTTCCTGCATAAACATTTTTTCTTCCAGTCCAGTACAATAAACTTTTTGAAGCTTTATCATTTTAATTTCAATAAAGTAAGTTAAGTCTACAAAATAATAAACTTAGAAAGTGGTTGTCATTGGCGCAAATGCTATTTCATAAATAATTTTTTCATAATTATTAAGGCAATTTCCTGCAGCACTTTGTCTTTCTTAGAGACTTTTAACTTAAATTTAAATGTAACATTAATTTTATTAGATTTAAGTAAAAATTAACAATGGATGCTTTGAGTTAACTTGAAGAACAGAATTTATTTCAAAAATTGTTGGAGGTTTTAAGTAATTGTTATCAACTGTGACAAAAATCTCTTCCTTCAAAATTTTCTAAAAAAAAAAGTATTGGTATTTAATCAATTGTTTCTATTACCCTTGTAAATAGGAGGAAGAATTTATCAGAGCAAAGTCATAGCCATTAAAACACACTTTTCAAATGTTATTTTTTATTAATAAATAATAAAACATAAACAATCACCAATAGAACAAAGTAAAAAATTAAATTTGTTTCTTTCTCATAACAAAGATATGTACTTAATTTTTACAAAAACATTTGAAATTTTAGTTTGCCTACCATGGAATTTCTTACATAAATAGAACACAGGAGTTAGAGCTAAGGGAGAAACTACGAAATAATGAAATTTCAGAAGTGAATTGCACTTGCAAAACTGAACTGGAAAAAATTGTCGAATCAAAACTTTCAATTGTAACTACCTGGTATTTGAAAGCAAAAGAGGAAGATTTTTTAATAGTTGTTTCAAAAGTTTCTGCCGTGTGCAATAGAGAAATTGAATATTTTTTACACAAAATATTTAGGCAACGTTTTGACAATCTTTGGACTTATGTAGAATCTGACGATTTCATAGTGAAGAAACTATCCATACAGCGGTACAAAGCAATGGATATATCCAATAATTTGGACCCTGATTTGGTGGACAGCTTACTTGGGTTCACCAAAGTGTTTCGGTTAATAGAATCCTTAAATATACCAATTATTGGTCATAACCTTCTACAAGATTTATTGCTGATGGTTAGTAGTTTTGAGTCAGAGTTACCAAACTCCTATAATGACTTTAAAAGTGTAATAACAAATTTATTTCCCATTATATTCGATACCAGAACTATTTCAAATGAGATGAGGAGTTCACTTCCTGAAGAGAAAAGGTGGAATGATAGGGGTAATGATTTTTGATTTTATTTTCCGTGTTGGAGTAGGTGATAAAAACGGTATTCGTATTTGTTTTCTTTTTAGGTTTGGACACAATTTTTGATTATTTTAAAAATGGTGTTGGTCGACATATAGTGTCTAATTCTCCAGCAATAGAGGTTAAATGTGATCAAGAAAATATGGAGACGTTTCACGACGCTGGCTGGGACTCATTTTGTACTGGCTACATTTTTATTAGGTTAGCCCACTTAAACCTTTATCAAAACTATCCACGTTCAAAATCTTTTGTCCCCAATGAACTTATCGGAGGGTTGCTGCAATATAAAAATAGGGTCAATATAATTAGAGGCTCCATATCAACAATTGTAAGTACCTGTTTGTAGGTCGTGGATCTATATTTGAGCCATACATATTTATTCAAATTTTCAGCAAATAGCTACATCCAATTTTACGAAAACATGTAATGTTCCACCACACCACACCCACCCTGTATAACTTTTGCATGGAATTTGATTTCTCTCTCAAAATGTGGTTATTTCAAAAATTTAGCGGGTCCTGCTACAACACCTTGTAGATTTTTTTTTTTTAATTGAAAATGATGTCGGCTTTTCAAAAATGGCTGGATGCCCCAGTAACAGTAGAGAGGTGGTATTAGGGAAACAGATGATTTGGCCAAGAGAAAATTATTTTGTTGTTTGTTGTGTCTCTGCGAGGAAAGTGATGTGGGGTATTCAAACATTTTCGGAAACAAAAAGGCTTAACACATTGTAGTAAACTAGGATACCAAATGATATTTAAAATCAAAATAAAAATTATTTATCTTTATCACTCTTTTTACAATACCTTCGAAGGGGCACCAAATTATCCTTTAACAGACATTACTACTTAACATCTTTACCCCTTTTGAAATATTTAGTATTATCACTTTTTGTGTCAAAAATTAGATCTAATCTGTAACTCGATCACTAATAAATTTTTGAAGACTAAGATAGTTGAAACTTAGTTTACTAAATTAATTTTTTAACGAAAAAATAAGCAATAATGGTAAATTAATTGAACAATTAATGAACAAAAAAGATAATAAAGATAAATATAATAAATTACCGTTTCATTTATTTATTTATTTATTAATAGCGCCTGTTGCATCTAAATGCTTCACATAATTAAACTTTTATTTTTAGGTTAGCTTATTTAAGTTATTTTATTTATATTTTAGGTCGAGATGTAGTTTTCGCTAGATTTCTGTGGGCTATTGAGACCCGAGAAAAATAGTTCTTAACGTTTGAAAGTATTTTTAAATGCGTTAAGCCTTTTTGGAATATCGACGGTTATAATTAGTATTTGAAAATTTTTTAGAAGCCGGGTTTTAAAAATCAACTGCTTTTTTAAGCAGATTTGTGCAAAATAAGGTATATATAACATATGTACATAAATACAGAGTGATCAAAGTTTTAAGGCACAAACTCAAATGGGTGGTCGATCATCATCATTTTAAGTAAATAAGTTTTCTTTGATCTCCATTTTTAGCGGAGCTAGACGGGCCAAAGTTTGATTATTTTTTTCTATTAAAATATCTCGCTCACTTGAACTGGTGTGGTTAATACTTCCTAGAAGATCATTTATGCGAAAAAGGCAAAATTAACATGTTTTAGTAACTGGAAGATATCAGAGGCGTACCACGAAAAAGTTTGAGGGGGATAAAAAAAGCCCCCTCAGACGTACCACCTTGCAGATTTTGAAAATATTTGAAATTCTTCAAATGTCCCCTAAAAAGTATTACGCACAGCAAATTTCAAAACAATATCTTGTAAGTGAGCGAGATATTTTAATTAATAGAAAAAATAAATTTTGATTCCCAGTAACTATTGCCGCTTTCAGTTTCTGTCCTAAAACCTACAACACCCTGTTTAACGGAACTCCCTAAAGTAATCAATCTAACACAAAATTTTCAAGAAAGTCAAGATCGTTCGTGTGAGTTTTGGTCAGTTTTTTTATTGGGATTGCGGAATCTATGGTGGAAAAGATTATTTGAGATTAATGTGGAAAATTCACCAAATTAATTTAAATGAAATAAGTTACAATTATAAGATGGTATATAATCATAAATAATAAAATGATTTGAATACATTTTCAATAAAATTTTTAAAAAGTATAGCGCTCAAAGTACACGATTAATATTGTAGTTATTTCATATATATTAGTATACAGGGTGTTTGGTAATTGAGTGACGATATTTAAATAACAATAATTTTAAGAACAAAAATTCCTTTTATTATGTTAATTTTCTTATTAATATCACTAGTGGTGTAGCACTCTACCATAAAATAAGGGTTGTCCAAAATCATCAAGTTCATTGTAGCTATGTTTACTACTATTTCTTCCGCAGAACCTTGGCGGGACCGATCCCGACTCCACCAGACCTCCCTATCTCATCATTGAATCAGTTAAAAATAAACCGCTTAATATATGCCAGGTGAGTTAATCGTCTTTTTAAGAAACATTTTGGAAAAACCACAATTAGTAGTCACTAATTCGCTTCGGTAAAGCTGGATTGAAACACTGTTTTTTTCCAATCCCCAAAATTTTGCGCTTCCAAAAATACTCGATGTGAAGGTCCCAGCTAAGCTATATTTACATTTTTTACGCACAAGATCTAGAAGTTTTCGATAGGTGCAATTCTATTATTTTTATGCAGACATTCACATTCAATTTCAACGCTATCATAAAAGTTATGACATTCCGTGCGTATGCGTATTTAATTAATTATATTACATTATACTTAAACGGACAATTTTTAACATAATTTGTTGCAGAAAGAAGTTGTATGCAATTTTGCAGTTCTAGAGATGAATCTAGTTACAGCATTACCAAAATGTATCTATAGCGCATATTTATTTCTGTGTGCCCTGGCGCCGCTTCGTTTTAATAAACCAGTTAATGCGGTCTACTATGCATGTTTTCACTTTCGCTAGAGATTTGTTAAAATTTTTATATTGTTCACAATTTAAGCTGCAAGGGTTGGAGTTATCCACTCTGTTAACTTTTATTGTGGGCAGAGATAGGTATTTGAATTTAAACGGCCTTAAGGCGATTTTACCTGAACATATACTTTGTTTAGAACGCCAGATTTCCTTATTTCGATTTCTTAAGCAATGTCGAACCGCTCGGATTGACGTTCCGTGCTTTCCTTTTTAACAATTACAATCGGAGACAATCTAACGGTTCTTACTATTTTGGCGGAGCAAACAGATTTATTCGAATAAGTGAGGTTAGGAATTTTTATTTCATTTTGTTCTAAAGTTGAAATTGTAAAATGGAGGTTTGCAAATTTAGGGTAGGTAATTTCAAATAAACTGCAGAAGCCGGAAAACATTTTCGTTTTTTTTATCATGCGGAGAGCATGAGCAAATATGGCTGTACATAAGTTTTTCATGACTCCAAATTTCAAAACATAAACCTCCAGTTATAACAGTGAGAGTTGATTGCATAGAAAAATAATCAAATGACACTTGAATATGTAATTAGTTTATCACTAAAATTTATCAAGAAATTAGCACGAAGAACTGCAGGACATTTTTGTTTTATGTAATAACAAAAGTTTTTACAAGAAGTTTACCGCTTATTGACCAGTAAATTTTGGTAAGAATTGTCTGTTAAAATCCGAAACGTTTATGATACCCTCCTTATTGCTTGCTTATAGAGAGTTTTTCAGTTGTTTCACAATTTGCATTTTTTTTTAAGGTAACGGCAATTCTAGGATCTTTTGGGTTTATCGAGGTGAAAAAAATTCCATTTCAGCGCCAAAGAGCACTGGTCGCAGTTGATAATTTTGGCAAGTAAGTTTATATTTTTATAATCAATCTTTTGTCAAAGGCATTCCGTCAGGAATTAAATGTTGCCAAGAGTCGTTGTATAAAAATCAGTTATTATTATACCGACGGCAGATTTGAAATATAGTTAACGATTATAAATTTTTGCGAAAGTTTTAATTTATAAAGTATTTTATTTTTTGTTCTTTTCAAATATAAGCACATTTTGAATGTTTTGACGAAAGTAGATTCTGATGTCAAATCTGCCAGTGTTTTATATGCCATGGGCATTTGAAAAATTCTCGTCGTCTCGTCTATTCTTCGTGGGTTTCTGTTGTACGTTACCGTATAAAAGGAAATAAAAACTTCGTGATAGAGCTGTCTGCGCTAATTTTCGGAACAAAATTGTTGTTTTCAGAAATACTACATTATTATTACTGGATTTCCATTTTGGTCTGTCTCTTCGCCAGGACTGTTTCTAATTCTCATACTTAAGAGTAACTGCGTTATGTGCCGTGCAGAAGCCTTGGCAGCTGCAAATACCTATCATTTACTACTACGTATATGGCTTTCTGCAAATTGTATGGCGCAGTTTCCAAAAATTGGTATCCCTGTATAGTTTATCACAAACATTTTTTAAGTAATGATTTTAATTAATTCTGCAAAAGGCGCAGTAAGGTCTGCTCTGCATTTTAATGCGCTTTAGTCGGGAATAGGAAGTAATTTTCTCTTTAAAATAACAAGGTGATTATTTTTTGTATATTTGCAGGTAGGCATATTAAATGTGGACTATTTTATTTTATTTTATATCAGAAATGTCCTATACACTTGTTTATAAAAATTAGGACGAGGACCATTATCAATTTTTTTTTCGAAAAGAATTTGTCCCAAAAATATTCTCTTTTTAAATATTTGATTATTCATTTATTTACTTTCTAGCCGATTTTTTCTTTTATGACTGTTTACTATATTTTTAAAAACAATTTGAAATTATTTTACGGAAAAAGAATCTGTGGCTCCAACTTTAGTTAACTACAATTATATCTTATTCTTTTCTTTTCCAAGCACGCTAACACTCATATCTTCTTTCGATACCCGGTTTCGTCGAACCGAAAAATATGTCAGATTCTTTCGAAAATGGAAAAAAACGAGTGTTTTCATAGACGGTATCTATCGGATTGAAGTCATTTCCAAAATGAATTCATTTCTCATGAAAACGTAGCAATATTATAACGAACCAAAATAGTTGTTGAGATTCATAACGGTGCAAAAGTTTCTCGAGTCTTATGAATTCCGTCTGATTTACCGAGACCAATTAATGACGTCTAAGTTATTTCGAAATAAATTGCGCCAAAATATTTTGCCGTCACGATATTTTAAATATAAATTAATCTAAAATTTCTAACCGCTGACTTTACTAGAACAATAAAATGTTGACGCTTTTTTAGTAATTTAAAAATCACATTTGATCGAAAGAAGCTGTTGTTACTTTTTTGCATACCCACAAAACCAATTTTCGTTAAATCAAATTATGAAAAAAGATGAAGTTTTGCTGTGACGGGCATCCACGTTTCAATAATTGCGTTCATTTGATGTCATTTACTATCTACGTCTAGCATATTTTTATGCACGCGCGTTGAAGCCCAACAATAACGTAAACGGTTCCTTAAATAACCCCGATGGGATAAGCTCAGAAAAAAATTGGCAGACCGCGAAAATCCTGTCCGTGTATTAATTAAAAACAGGTGGATGCCAAAACTCTACCTACTTTTTTATTTAATTATGCGCGACTGGCTTTGAAACTACGATTTACTTGGCCCCCAGAATCAAGGTCTAAAAATATCCACCTTTCTTATCCCCAGGAGGTTTTAATTATCTTTTTTCTTATGCCTGGATTGCGAGTTACATTTTCCTGGGAATGATCCTATTGCATACGCCTACCCAAGCTGAATGGCATTGTAATTTTTTAACATCAAGAAAAAATTAGAGTTATGTATCTTCAGTCTGGCATCGTTAAATTTATTTTTACCTATTTAATTAACAATGGACTTCCTAACAATTTTGTTTGTCATTATCCTGTTTTTTCTTTAGGAAATGAAAATATCCGTAAGCATACACTTGAATCAAGTTCGATATTGCAAAAATATTGATTCAGTTTTATTATTTTACTATCATAAATGTTACTGCCTATTTTTTGATATTTTTGAGAAAGTAAGGAAAAGCATTATTTTTTTAAATAACCGGTAAACTGAACCACTGATCAAATGTTGCCGTTAATGTTTAACCAGAGTATAGAGATTTTGCATTTAATGTTTTTCGGTAGCCTATAAAAAGGGAATATTTTTATTGTTCTGTATATATTAAAAAACTTGGACAAACTCCAACAACAAGCGATGTTTTATTACTTCTACATTGGTGGTTTATATTTGATAAACGTCTATAAAATATAGCTAGTAGTAAATCTTGACGTTTTAGTGCTCTTTTCCGCTGATAGAACAATGCTTAAGCATCGATGCGGAAATGTGTTTGTTACGATTGTTGCGTTAGTAAAATGCACAGATGATTTTAAAACGAAATAATGATCTTTAATTCCTGTAAAATGTTTTACGACTGAAATTTTTATTTACTTGGAACGTTGTGATAATCACTCTGAACAGAACGAACTTATAACACACTTTACTTTTTTTCTTAGTCCTTAAACGTTTCATAAAAATGTGTACACTAATTCTAATTTTATCTGCAATAAGGTACTTAAAATTACATAGCGTTGTCACAAATAGATTTCTTCCAAAAATAGAATAGAAATGTGAATAAAAATATAATCCGATTTACTTTTGATGCATGTGAGAAGAAATCATATAATTGCTATGTGCTATCCAAATTGTGGCATCAAGGACAAAGATACAACACACTGAATAGATAATAAGAAGGAAATATTTTAATTAATCATAATTATAATTTTAATTTAAGCAAAGGAAAAGTTTATATCATCGCATATCTAGTTCAGTGACAACTAAACGACTAAGTGGTTTGAAAAAGATTAGACGTACTTGCAAAATAACATTAGCAAGCAAGTAGGTACCTGGCGTAAATAGATATGTTTTTTCTTTAAACGTTAATACCTAATTCCGTACTTAGATAATAGTGACGCAACTTAACAAGCATTGCATTTTTTTTCTAAAAAGCTTAAAGAGCTAGCGGGACATTTGCAAAAATAGTAATAAATATGGACAAATAACCATTTAACAATCTTATTTTCAAAACAAGTCACGTTATGACCATGATAAATATATAAATTATATTAATTTACTTTGATAATGACAATGACAACAATATCAGAATAACTGCTGAATAATGCCATTAATGGATTAATAAGTAAAAGACTTTTGCCGTACTATTTTTGAAGTAATTGCTGCCAGGGTTTATGCAAAATGATAACCTCAAGGGCGCTGCTGCTACAGTAGTACGTTTAATCGTTTGGCTCTGTAAAAACCTTGGCAGCAATTACTGCATTGACAAATCTTTCAAAATGTACCGCAATAATATCAGCACCTTCACCAACAAATTCGCATTTTAAATCAATAAAAAATGTTGATTTAATAATCCTTTGATGTTAAAAGTATTACCTACTTTAACAGTCACTTTATTCAAAAGCCTACCTGTCCGATCATCTTACTTATTAAACCAAATGACATAATGGTAATTTGTTATTGTTATCGATATCAAAGAAAATCAGTAGTTTCATTCTCATATTTTCAGAGAAATGTCATTAGTCCACCACTATTTTGAAAATAAAGTAGTTCGTATTTTTAAATAGTTTTGCCAATATCAATATTAAAAAAGCAGCTTTCGCTACCTTTTTAAGCTTTTATCCCTCTTCACTATTAACTAAAATTGCATACTCTTGCATTTAACATTTTTTTAAAAATCCAGTATGCAACATTTAAATAAAAGCACATCTAACCTTCCCCACCACTTTATTTTACCAGACATATCCAAATTGTTCAAACAAAAAAAAACCAAACTGGGTGAGGATTGTGCTGCCACTATTTTGAACACGCCTTTTTGTTTTTTGCGCATTTGTTTATTCGCTGCAAAAGCGGCCTATCTAGAAACTTGAACATAATTTCCAGTACATATTTATGGCCTTTTTGGATTTTTTTTTTCTGCAGAATATAGGCTTATATTACAGCCGAGATTCTTTCTTAGAGGGACACCTGGCATTTTTAATTGCTCAAGAATTCTTCATCATGTTGGTTTAGAAATAAACTATCAGTTTTTAATAATATTGTTAGATAAAATTACTTCTTTTGCAGTGCAAAAAAAATTTTAAATAATTTTCGAAATCATCAGGAATTTCGAATTTTCCAGTACAGTGCCTTGAAGCACTCAGTCCCTGTTAGGATGATTATTGCGTAAGTATTATTTATTGTTAAAGAAATGTATGTTTTTACTCTTATTATTTTTCAATTTCAGAGGGAGTGTAGCTATAGTGGGTGCTGTAATTTTATGGCTGGCGATTGAATAATCAATAAAAAATTCCTGACGATATCAATGTAATGAAAATAAAGGTGATATTCTGAGTGAAATTCATTATTTATTATTGTTAGCCCCTAAATTTTACATCCTATTTAAATAGTTATAAATAGTGTCCCATTCAAAGTAAAAAAGTAAAAATAGTCTATTGTGTTGATGTTTATTTTGGTAGATTAAAAACCTACGCACAAACATTCGAAATTTTTGAACGGCATATGTTTTTTATCATTTACTTACTACTTGTCGAATTTGGTTCATGTATATTTGAAAATGTTTTGGCAGTAATATAGTATTTATAAAAAGCTTTAGCTCGGGAAAAAAATTACATATTATGTAACTTCAAGTATTCAATTTTATTTAGTCCTTCTTTTACGCAAACGTTTCAATCTGTCTGTTTGAACTCATAAAAACTTTAGAAACCAGTTAACACAATTTTTGCTTACTTACGTCTTGTAATTTTGAGTGTATTTACAACATTCACCTATTTTTTACTCAAAAATAGCACTTTAGAACATATTCTTAGTTAAAATTAGATATTGGCGGTTTATCAAGCTGTGGTAATAAAAAGATAGACACACACGTTGTGTCGAACATTCCATTCGTTATTTACTTTGAATGCGTATTCTATATTTCCGCGGTAATATAAATTATCTATAGACTTTTTTTAAATTAACTAGAATTTGGTATTCAGTTTATCCACAAATTTCCCCGGTTTTCGGTTATGGGAGGACACCTCTATCCCTACGGAGCTTTCGATTTTGATGCTGTCATAGGAACCTATTATTGTTCATTTATTCCTGTTTCACCATACGAGTATCCCCATAATTATTTGTCCCTATACTATACAGTGTGATCAAACTTAAATCGGCACTAATGGCAACTTTTATTATTGAAGCTATGTAGTTTTGAATGAGGAAAAGGAACAAAAAAATCGTTTTAACGCAGATAGATACCCGAGCGATCCAAAAAAATTAAATCTTTGTCTTTATGGTTTTAGCATTTTGTATGATTAGGATGGTTTCAAATAGGCTCGGTTCACATTTTTTATCGAATTAATTAAAGGTACGGCTAAAAAATAATCATAATCGGTCTACAAAAAATCAGAATTTTATTCGCACGTTTTTAAGGCCTTAAGAACTCAAAAATCCATAATGCAAGAAAGGGACGCTCGCATGCTCGACATTGTCGTCAGATTTTAGTGCGTCCTTTAAATTTTCAAATTATGTTGTTGGTTGTCTAGTACCTCATTGATTCATTATTACAAAAAAGACAAATACCTAAGTTTTTCGTATTTACAGGATGCAAAAAATGCAGAAAAACTATTTTCTTCCTTAGGATCCATCACAAGAAGGTACCATTGACAATTTGACGTTTAATTTCATTTTATATGCAGCAAACGAAACGAACCTTTGTTATTTCACATACCATATATAGATTTCGTATTTATTTAACCTCCTGATTTACCTGGAAATTGAAATTCCGAATAGTGCGCCATCCGTTATAAAGCTCAGTGGTTAATTTTGGTTAGAAATAAAATATCGTAAATAAGTATTTTTTGAGAATTTCAGGACATTGGTCTAGTTTTAAAAATTAAATAAAACTGAAAATGAAAAGTTTTAAAAAAGGTTGGAGAAATAATTTTTTGAAGTTCCAAAAAACACAAGACTAACATTTGATTTAGATTCGGATTAGGACTCAAAGGACCATAGTTAATAAAGGTTTATCTAGGTTGATCTGTCTGATTAGACTCCTTGGTGTAGCTCGCTGCCTCTTGATTGGTTTTACCCAGCAGATAAAAACTCACTCTCGCTGGACCTTCACATTGGTATAACAAGGGTGTGACTAGTAGAATCTACGTTCAGTGTTTTCTTCCACTCCAATTAGCCTTAAATGAATCTCACGCACTCCGTAGAACCAAGACTAAGAAATCCGGTACGGACTGAATAACACGAACAATGGAAGGTTTGTTCCGACTTCAGACGTTGCTAAACTAGTTCTCAACAGCACCACAGAAATTTTCAGAACAAACAAAATAAGAATTGGTAACTGTTAATTCATGTACATTATAAGAGAATTTTGAACATACATTGTAACGAAGCTCGAAAATCTATACAACTATACTAGATATATTCGAATAATTCGTTAAAAGTAATAAATTTAGTCTGAAAGGAAAATCGCCGACGGTAATCGCCGATAGGGTAATAAAAATTTATCTTTCCAAATTATTTTATCTGAAAATTAATCTCCAATGTATAAATTTCCGGCATTTTCAAATCACAGTTTTCAATCGGCAAATTTTTTCGATATGTTTATCATTGGAATTCTAATTATATACTCGCATGGTCGGCTTAGATTTGCTTTAAAAATACAGCGGTAAAGTAAACATTGCTAAATAGTCTAAATTACGTAATATCCGCTTAAACTGAAAATTATTTTATCGCATTGCATTTTGTTTTTAAGGTAGTGCAAAAATCTCAATCTTTTATAGTTACAAATAAATAAAAAAACATTGAGTCCCAAAAAATATACCTGTTATAGGTAAAAAATCATGGACATTTTTTTTTAATCGTGTTAATATTTCGATTACCAAACGGTAAGGATAATTTTAGAATAAATTTTTGGCAAAAACATGTCTGTTTTGTGTTACAGGAATTTGCTGATATTACCTACTGTAGCTTCAGAGTGCTCAAAAATAATAATCATGATAATGCCATTTTAAATAGTAGTAGGTAATATAGGGGGTCTATCCATAAACCATCATCAAATTTAAGATCATGCGATGAAAAAAATGTTAGATCAGATCAAAAACCGAAAAAGACTTGCATCAGTTGTGTACTATCTTGAAAGTGGGATAGTTCTAAACAACAAACAACAAAAAATCGACTCAAAACTGTGCTGGGCGATGAAAATCAGCTACAAGTTTTATTATAGGAGTAACAAAAACATTCAAAATCCAGGCAAAATATTTTTTTAATCATGACGTACGAAATTTGTCATATTCTATAAGCGACTCTTTTTACAGACCACTCCAATATTCCAATTTTCAAAGCATATCACAATGTCTCATAGGCAAACTCTAATAACAAAACAATGTGTTAGAAATATGTTAGAATCCAAAAATCTTCCAAAAACCAAAATGGATTATCATCATCTCTCAAAAACAGCTAGGTATAATACGGATCTGTTTGTCGCAAATAAAGGAATGAGATTTAGAAGTGTCGGAAGTGTAAATAAAGAGACAACCGTAATTCCTTCTGTAGTTAGTTTAGTGTGCAGTAAGTAAAAACGAGTGTTCTAATTCTAGTTGCTAATTATTAGTTGCATTTTGTCTACAAAACGAACTGGAAAAGTCAATGGATTAATAGTAGGCCCGAAGTATAGATAACTGATCAGTATCATTTATCCTATTTTCAAAAATAAATCATGACAGTAGTGGTTACACATATTTTATTTATATTTTGGAAAGTATGAAAATGTATTGAAAGGAATTTTGAAAAAATCTTTCACTCTACATCACAAATACATTGCATATTCTTCAAAGAAACTTTACAGGCTACTGTAATATTTTTTATAAAACTTCTGGATTCCTCCTGCGTCGGTTTTTGTTGAGTCGAACTAGCTAACGTTTCGCCAACCATTCAGTTGGCATCTTCAGAGCTTGACTGAAACTGGCTCCCATTTTACTGTGTACCTGCTTTTATATTGTTTGAAGGGGGCAGAGCTAAATGAGGGGCATAAACACTGTCTCGGATGACTGATTACCATATTGGTGACAGCAGTAATCACAAACTTTCAACATGTTCTACTTCTGTCATTTTAGATCTGTGCTTTTCCTTTTATATCTATTAAAGGATTAATTGTTTTATCTCATCATGTCGTTTCTTACTCCCGATTAAGAAATCCACTTTATTTCAATTACTCTATAAACGGCTCGAATTTAGACTCACTACATTAAGATATCTTGGAGTTGTGTTTGATGAGAGGTCCGTCCACCTTTATCTCTCATGGTGATCACTTAGAGCCGACGCCTCTAGAATCTTGCAGTGGCGCGCTATCCTGTACCCAGATAATATGCTTCATGGCTTCAATCATAGTTAAGCCACGTCTCTGATGTTCCGATGACATCGAATTGTACGGAATAGACCCGCTTCAGTGGGTATTTAAGATGCACAACCAGCGCAATCGGACATGAATGGAGGGTAGCTTATACGGCCAACCATAGATAGAAACTGTCCTCGGTTGGTATTGCCATTATTACCATTAATCAATTAATCAATGACATAGTCACGTC